TAAAAAAAAAAAAAAAAAAGGAAATCGCAGACTGTATGGAATGCGCATCACGTTATGACCGATTTGTCTGCGTCTGAAGTGAGGCTGAAATGCCCGGTAACACCCCGTCTGGCAAGTCTGACCAGTTGATTACTCGGGGCATTATACTTCGTAAAGTATTTCCAGCTTAATGATTTAATTTTATTTGAGACGGGAGATCTGTCCTAGTTTTCCAATGCTTCAACTTTCTATACTTCCTGCCAGACACAAAAAGAGAACGCTGCAATTTCTCTGGGGTTACCATGGAGGCACCGTTGCCAGAATGCATCAGAACAGAAGAAAAGCAGCGAAGGCTGCAGAGGACCTCGCGTGCGTCACTACGACGAAAAGTCAGTATTATCTGAATCAGTTCCCTTGCAAAGAACCGTCAATGTTGCTCTAGAGGTCACTATGGAAGGTATATTCCTGCGATCTTATAATTCAGAACCGAGTCATTCGATACAACGGCATATACCATTGCCAGAAAACTCATTGGGCATGCCGTTCCATCTACCCAGGACATCCAGGACGACCAACTATCGACTGAGAATGTTTTCTGCGTCTTCATGACGCGGGTGCCGGGTAGGCCATGGATGGAAACAGAGGACCTCGGGGACGAGAACGGCTTTCTCAGGTGTGCGACTCCACTCGGCCAGTTGCTAGCTGGCTGCTTCGTACCGAAAGAACCGCGGGCCTTTGAGACATACATAATCCCAAGGCTGAAGAAGATTTTGACGATGAAAACCCGCTCCGAGATTGATGTGACAGGCTACTTCCCTCTCGTAGAGAAGCTGATCACTGCGTCCAGTCGGCTCACGGATCTACCGGGGTTCTTCTCTCACCAAAATCTAAACACGACGAACATATTCGCTGATGAAAGCGGCACGGGTCGGGGAATCGTAAACTGGGAGGATTCGCGAGTTCTACCTTTCGGGCCGTGTGGCTGGGCCATCCATTTCCTGGAAGGGGAATTTGTGACGGTCGATGATGGGGATATAGGATTCGCAGAGCGACCTGCTTATGAATTAATGGAGAGAGCTTTCTGGAAAGCATTGCTGCAGAGCGCTTCAGGAAATCTCCAAGGAGTTGGCGGGTAAAATGGAGCTCGTACAGCTCGCAGTGGTTATTGGAACTGTCTTGAGGGTCTTGGGAATCTACGAGGTGAACGGGGCTGAGACCTCCAAACTTCATATGCCCTCATTTAATGCCTTACCGAAATTCCTAAGATATCGTGTACCTTATGCTCGGGGATCTGAGGACATGCCATTTGGGATGAGAATGGAGAAGTGAAGCTGGCAGGAATCCTAACCTCCCTTCAGGGTGGAATCGTACTTTTGAAGTCGACCTCAGTATATATCTTAGGTACTAGAGCAAGCTGACGCTCAATTCGAATGGCACAGTTGCTTGCGTATTTCATTGACCATATGTCTGATAACAATGGATGACTGATTGTATAATCGCCCAAAAAGATCATACAGCAAGCGAGAAGAAATTAACAGAGAGAAAAAAAGTGTCCTTAGTCGACGTTCAAGCACTTGAAGACTATGTTGTAGACCAACCTTGGAAGTCATGGCTGCTTGGCAAAATGATTGGATCGACGTGACTTTTACCTACATATGTAGCAGTATGTACAAGATTTTAGGCTGTGGATGCGAATTTCCCGATATAACTATATCGCTAAGTACAAATTCGAAATAAGGGCTTATAATTACAGCGAGTATTTCGAAGTAGATATTAAAGTAGTTACGATTTCTAGCGAACAGAATAAGGCTATAGCCTTTATTAATCTCCCTAGTGAGATTAAGTCGTATCAATGTGTTAGCCCCCAGGTGTCAGACAATATCCTATCCATTAGTCCGACACGAAAGCCCATCAGCAAGCGCGTAAGTTCGTATCTCATATCAGTGTGTTGATCCCGAGGGTCGAGAAACTGTCCGCTGGGCGAAAGCAGGGACGAAATCTCAGCAGATGCTTTACTGGACTTCTTCGCAAATCACCTGTAGCATCCGTTGCGTAATGACGATGTCTGCTTGTCCAGTTGGTCGGTCTTCCCGCATAAGCAGCTCGTAGTCTAGACTAATATCCAGACCCGGACCCTTGACCAGTGTGACTGCACCCCTTGTGACTCGGAGTGCTTGCGTAACCGACAGGGGTGTTATTTCTTTACGCGGCTTGAACCGTTCAGGATGGTCTGGGTCGGGAGTGGCGTTCTGGCATGTAGGTAGGCTTGGTCGAGTAGCGTCAGGCGCTGACCACAGTTCAACATCCACCCAAAAAGGGTTCTTGTGGACCTTGAACAGTAAAACCAATCGAGTGTTGTTGTTAGAGTTTCCGAACCACCATTCGGCATCCATTTGGAGAGAACGGTGCGATTGAGACATCCCAACTTCAACGACAAGGGATGGCCAAGTGCTGACAGTTGCGGAGAGAGGATGCGGAGATGGGACCATACTAAAATCTGGTTCCTTTCCGCAGTGGACCCCCTTGTTCTGTGCAGCGCCAGTCCCTCCCCAGCGACCCCCAATACGCGGCAAACCCGCGGAAGTCATTGCGTCCGCGAATAAAAGGCAAAAATCGCTAACAACGCTTTCGTGCTGTAGGCTAGACATGATCCTAAGTAGTATGTTGTGATCGTCGACAGTGAGTCGCACTCCGCCGATCCTATTCTTCAGAAGGTAATCGCGTAGGCCATCGCTCACGTCAATGATCAAAAGATACTGAGTTGTCTCCGGATTCGTGTCGATCTTCCTTGAGATCCGTCCAATCTTTCTGATTGTTTGCTGCTTTGTTGGGCGAGTCAAACGCTCAGCTTCATCAGGAATATGAAAGTCCGATTCTGTAGATTGAAGATTGATGTGGGACTCAGGCTCGAGGAACTCGCGAGGTGGTTCGGAGGTTGGCATCGCACCTTCTTCCTCACCTTCCTCCCCGCCTTCATTCTCACGCCAAGGTATTCCAGGATACCCCATGGCGATGTTAGATGAGTCAAGGCAAGACAATATGTAGATTCGAGGAGAGCAATGGATAAGATGAGAACATTGTGAGGTTGTGTAGGGATTTTATGGAGGCACAGATGATAAAAGCAGCTGTCGGGTTCAAACGATGACGCTATGTTTCAGCGCTTTGACATAGTCGAGAAATTGGAAAGCTCGGAAGTCTATTCGTGCCCGTTAGTGAAACGTCCATCGCGTCCACGGGTGGAGACATCATCTATTACTTACCGTGTGAGATGAAAATAACAAAAATGGTGGGAATGGTTCCGGCTAATAAGCCTCAGACACTCTCGGGAAACTCCGTTATTAACCAGCAGAACAACGGCCGCAAGAGGCTGGTGGGATGGAAGGGGGGGGGAAGGAAAGAGGAAGAGAAAGAGAAACAAAGGGTGTGATTGGTGAGGGTGGGTACGAAAACAAGATCAATAAACACCCGCATGAACACCTAGGCACCACAGGTTTACCAATATTAAGGACACTACAATGTAGGGACCGAAGAAAGAAGGGAGAGAGTTGATTCCTATAGGGAGCGAGCTGCCCGACGACAACCTTGCTTCTGATATAATCTATAGAATGCACCCGATAGGACTGCCCAATGCCTTGGGTTGGAACAAACCGTTGCCCAATTGCAATAAAATAACAATCGGAGGTGATGATTTAATATACCAACAAATGATGGTCGACTCGAAACTTAAGAGATGTGCCAAGAGCTAGATACGTACATATATAGACAGCTGCTAACCCCAAGTCAGTATTGCAAGATGATTAGTCTGTCCATAGCATAGATAAATGGATGGATTAGGCCCTTGGGCAAGACGATATAACAATCTTGTCAAGAGAGGTCTACGTGGTGGACATCGAGATGCACGGTGAAATGTGAGAATCCATTGAATGGTTGAAGAAGCTAAGTTATGAAACCAAGAAACTGACAAATCTCAGCACTTAGGCTATAGTTGCTCATATTACGTTTTATAACTCTAAAGAAGGATAATAAGAAACGTATAGTTATTAGAACTCCTATAGGTAGTAAGAATCCTCCTATATGTTATGGACATGCTAGTTACCAATCGATGGCGACCCCACATGTTGCACGGACGGGCCATCGAGAGCCAATCGACCAAATCCGTCTGCCCTCGAACACGTGCACTAACTGCATTAAGAAACTGCCTATTTAGGTACAACGAATCACGTGACAACGACTCCTACATCGACTCTAGGAGTATACCGAGGAGTATAGGGCGACCCCCGTATCGACCCCTAGAGTATATAATAGAGTATATAGTGACTCCTAGGTATACCCCCGGGGTAGATCTAGGAGTAAGAGAAATTAGAGATATATAAGGACACTTATTTATGAATCTAGTTTAGTTCTTCGTCTTTAATCCTATATTATTACTTATATTTACTTTTGGGTGTCTACTCAAAAATCCTACCCTATACAGCCAGACTTACAAATTTGGGCCTCCTACCTAATTGAAATAGTTGCCTTTTTGGGGCTAGTGGAATTCCAATTGTAAAACTGAGTGACTATGTAATTGATTAATCTTAGTTAATCTAAACTAGATGATAGAATAAGAAATTGATGTGAAAGGTCTCTCCTGAAATTGGAATACCTAAGACACGATCTCATATTTATTTCTGACGACTGTTCCAAGACTACCTCCAACAGTATTGAATGAGCACGTTACCCACCTTGCCCTGATTAATACCGCAACGACCAAATATATCACTGCTATACGGAGGTGGACATCTTTGGGAGGCCTCCTTCTCGCGCCAGGAGAGCTTGTCGCGTGTCACCACCCCTGCCATGACACCACGCCCGGTTTGTTCGCGGCGACAGATTGCACCGAAAGCAGATGGCTCTACAGCAGACCTTGGAAACATACCCATCATACTAGGCGAGATTGAAACTGATTCACATCAAGTGTCGGGCTCTCGTACCGAAGGTTAGTATGCACATGCCCTTAAACCTGTGAACTGGGATCAATCCACTCATCATGACACACAGACCCATGCTTCGCTCAAGAGAGCGTGATTGTCAAATGGGATGGAGAGGATGACCCCAAAGATCCATACAATTGGCCCCTCTGGAAGAAATGGCAGGCTACGGGCATTGGTTTGCTGGCGAGCTTTATCTGCTCAATGAATGGGACCATCCTAACGGTGGCTCATACGGCCATTGGGGAAGAGTTTCACATTTCCGATGCGACCTTCCCCAATTCCTACTGGCTAACCACATCCTGGGCCATCGGGGCGGCGCTGTGTCCGCTTCTTCTGTTTCCTGTGATGGAGGACTTTGGCGTTCGACCTGTCCTTCTCGCAACCTATTTTTGCTTTGTTTGTTTTCTGATTCCTGTAGGGTTGGCACCAAACTTTGCCACCCTGATTGTAGTTCGGTTCTTTAGCGGAGGATGTGTTCCGCTGATAAGCGACGCCGTTGCCGGTATTACATCGAACATTTTTCACGGCGATCGAGCCCGGAGTGTCCCAATTTGTCTGTACGTGACCATCTATCTGGCGGCGACAAGCCTGGGTCCGGTCGTTGGCTCTTCCATTCTGCAATTCCTGTCATGGCGCTGGATTGGTTACATCGAACTGATCTGGACCGCTGCCCTATTTCCAATCCTGGTCTTCGGTCTGCCAGAGAGCCGCGGGCCGGCGATCCTGCTCGCTAGGGCCAAACAACTGCGCCGCGAGGGGAAGAACGCGTACACGACCGAGAAGATCGACCGGTTAGCATTTCCTCGGCTTATCCTGCAGAGCGTTCAACGGCCTCTGTACATGCTATGTACGGAAGGGGTCGTGTTCGTTGCGACGGTGTGGGCTGCCTTCAGCTTAGGGACGATATATCTTTTTACGCAGTCGGTCGAGCAGGTATATAGGGAGCTCTATGGGTGGGATCCCATCCAGTGCGGGTATATCCAAATTGCGATTGTGGTCGGGGAACTCCTGGGCGGTGGATTTTGCATCTCAACTAATCCCTGGTACTATGCATCTGCTACCCGCAATGCCGAGGCACCGGGCACGCCGATCCCGGAGGCTCGGCTACATGCATCGATCATTGGTGGATTCTTTGGTGTGACGGGCGGCATGTTCGTGTATGGGTGGACATCGTACGCTTCCATACACTGGATGGCACCCACCGTGGGCCTGGCCATGGTGGGGTTTGGGACGACAGCGGTCGTCGTTGGCAATGCTAACTATCTCATCGACGCGTACAGCAAGTATGCTGCGAGCGCCCTCGGGGCGGTGGGTTTCGTCGAGAACATCTCCATCGCTTTTCTACCTCTGGCTGCAACCGCCATGTACACGGATCTTGGATTTCAATGGGCCAGCTCGCTGCTTGCATTTGTGTCTTTGGCCCTGGTGGCGACTCCTTTTGTGGTCCTCCAATGGGGCAAAGAGATCAGATCTTACAGCCCATTCATGCAAGAGGCCACTGTAGAGCGGCGGCGAGACAGTGCCGCAGCCGCAGGTGTATAAGAGTGGGGCCGTCGCACCCCATGTTGCCCCTTCAGTTGTTGGGGTGCCCGACATTAATCACCACCATGTATAATGGAGGAGGCATGTTTGAACGCTGCTGTCATGAAGAGAAGAACGAACTACCATTGAAGATGCACTATCAGATCAGTTTGTTGAATTCTATGAATTCTCATGTATTCATACCGTCTCGGTTTAATGCATAGACCTTCGACTTCCACGAAACCGATCAATTTCCGTGACATTCCGATATTTCTCCACATATCTGTTAGAACGACTGTACTTCGAAGTCCTCGCCAATATGCCCAAAGACTTTGGGGGATCGCACAGTAGATCCGGGCGAGAACATGGAATCATATATATACCTTTTTTCCATGTCTTGATCGTCGGACAAATCAGCATTTTATATTGCATTAATTATTCATACCTCCAGCGACAGCTTGTTTCATGCTGAAATACTGTAGTGTTACTGTAGTTTTTCAACACTTTCGGATGTGGAAGAACTAAATTTAAATATGCGCGGGAGACATGCTCGATTGTCCATGTCAGGTATGCTAGCTGAAAAGCGTAGGCTATGAGTGATAGATGGTGTCACGCTGCCGTAGACTATAATATGTATAGGTATTGTACAATTCCGCTCACCTCTGCGGCGAGTTAAGCTCACTCCAGATTTCCCGGCTTCAAGCTTATAATTGGCCTATCAATATTGTATATATCAATCCGGCCCCGATAATGACGGGCAAGTGTTCGTCGACCAGTGGCGCGGGATAAACGTCGCCGCCCAGTACGTGCTCGCCGGTCGGTAGGCCCTTGAGCATTGCAGCGGCGGCACTTTCGTCGGCGAGGCCGTCGATTATGGCCCCGATGCGGGCGGAGTTCTCTTCGATGTTGCGAAAGAATGCCGGTGCATCTTGCATGATTGGTGCTTGAGCTCATGACTCTTGATCCAACTTGAGAGCATAGACGAAGACATATCGCGTCAGCTGTTCAACTATTTCTTGAAAAGATATGAAAGTTAATTGTACTTGCAGTGATGCTCTCGCCCATTGCGTCTCTGCCTTCTTTATATTAATTTCATGGACTTTCAGATGCTGATACTGCCTTGCCACATAACTACCAGATGAGGACGATGGAGCATTAGTCGGTGTTAGCAACCTTACTCTGTTCAGCGGTTTGGCTCATTTCAGTTCTTTTGCTGAACCTGGTAGATCACACCCAGCTGGGAAAAATATCAATTCGCTAAATAGATGTCAACAGATGTACTGGCACGAATCAAAACGCTTGTTTGATTGGACAGGGTATGTGAGTATGCCTTATCCCACTTGGGAAACTTGGGAATTCAATCCCAATCAGGCAAAGGCTCTTTTCGGCTTAGCGTGCATGTAAGTACTTTGGCCCTGACTCCACTCATAGTCTCACCTACAATCAACCTTAGAAGCTCGATGTCCTGAGTCTGAATATGTCACCTCAAAAAGTTGTTCCTAGGTGGATTCAGCCCACCGTGCCCCCCCGGGCGGATCGGAGCACGTCTCATTCTGTGGCTCTTGACAACTGCTCCCTGCCTATTCCCCGTTCGATCGCAATGTACAAACAGATCGACGTCGACGATCGTGAACTCGAGGCCCAGGGGTATGCACCGGCAATGCCCAGGCGGTTTTCACTATTGTCACTTTTCTCGCTAGGCTTCGCGCTGACAGCTACCTGGAATGGATTCGGGAGTGCTATCGGAACCAGCCTGGCCGAATCCTCTTCCTCAGGAACTATATGGACTCTGGTCATCGCTGCTCTAATGAATCTCGGTGTTTCGCTCGGCATGGCGGAGCTCGTTTCGGCTTTCCCAAAAGCTCTCCAGGCAAGCTCTAGAGCGTGCTCACTTCCTGGGCGCCCACTTCGCAGAGTATGGAACGCCGATAGGGCCCCTCCATGGCCTCCCTATTTCCATCAAGGAGCACGTGGGGATGAAAGATCTGCGCTTACATGCGTCCTACATTGCCTTATGGGACAGCTTAGCGACTCAAGATGTGCATGTTCTCCAGATCTTAGCGAATGCCGGTGCCATCTTTCGTGCTAGGACCACACAGCCCCAGACGATAATGCATCTAGAGACAAGCTCAAATTTCTATGGAACTGCAAACTGTCCATGTAATAGCGAGCTCAGTGCAGGCGGAAGCTCTGGAGGTGAAGGATCCTTAGGCAGCCTAAGAGGTAGTATCCTCGGTGTTGGCTCTGATGTTGGAGGTAAGGTCTTACATTGTCGCCAAAAAAATCCTTCTGATTTTAAACAGGCAGCATTCGCTCTCCGGCGCTAAATGGTCTGCGTCCATCGGCCTTCCGCATTCTTACCGATGGCTGGTCCTACCGAGCGGCAAATGTGGATGAACTCCCGGGTGTTATTGGCCCTCTAAGCAAGGACATTGACGGCATCGAAATATTCATGAAGGTTGTGGCAAGTGCTAGACCGTGGTTTCTCGAGCCTGCCCTTCTGCCTCTTCCGTGGATACCCTATCAGGTCGACTCTACGCGGCGGCCCTTGAAAATCGCAATTATGTGGCATGACGGTGTTGTTCTTCCCCATCCATTTCCCCATCCATCAATAACACGAGCTCTAAAGACTATGAAGTCAAAGCTAGGTGACGTAGTGGAAATCTCTGTCTCATGCTGGCAGCCGTATCGTCACGAGAGACCCTGGGCCATAATCTCTAGTCTCTACTATCCGGATGGTGGCGATGAGGATGCACGTCTTCTAAAGCAAGCTGATGAGCCCATACTCACGCTGGCAAAGTGGATGAGAGAGAATCCTAAGGTCAAAAATCTCACCATGAGCGAGTTGTGCCACTGGAGAATGGAACACGAAGCATATCGCAAGGAATATGCCCAGCTTTGGAACGACGCTGCGTTGACGCGATTCTATGCCCTGCTGGCCCTGACCTTGCACCCAAGCATGGGACCGCACAGTACTGGAGCTATACTAGCCAGTGAAATTTGCTCGACTACCCAGCCGTCGTGTTCCCTGTTGGCAGGGCGCATGCCAACAGTGACCGGAAGGAAAGAGTATTTACCCCCATGACGCGTGCTGATAAAGATAATTGGGATCTCTGTAAGCCTGCAGCCCAGAGCCACATTTATTAAAAGCCGACCATAAATAATAGATGACGCTGAAACAGTTGATAAAGTTCCCATATCGCTTCAGCTTGTTTGCCGGCGATTTGAGGATGAGAAAGTTGTCGGGATACTGAGATATCTTCATGGGGTGCTTCAGTTCCCTTTCGAGCCTCTTCCATGAGTCGGTCCCTTACACTGTTTGGGGCATCTGTCACTTTGATTTATAAAGCGACGTATCATAAGATTTGAGCCAACTGCTCACATCCTGGATTTTCTTGCAACAAGCTGGCAGATACACAATTCAACCTCCTATCAAGACCTTATACAAAAGCAGATTGGCTACATATGCTAGAGCGATCGCTGCACAACGAAATCTATTTCTCATTAAAGTCATCCAAAGCAAAGCCGCACTTGCAACGGATAACAAGACGCGGAGGTGTGTTGTCGATCCACGACGTGACCCCACCACACGTTCTCAAAGCCCTTCACCTCCTGCTCCGCCCATACTTCTTCAAGCAACGGGATGGTACTGCCAAACATCTGATACCGTGTCCGGTCGTTCCACACCGAGCAGAAATGCACGATCTTTTGCCGTACCGATCGATCGCGTTGTTCGCAGCCAGCGAAGAAGAGCGGCAGCAACGCCTGCCGGGAGACCATGCTCTCGTCGCGACATGCGACCACATGGTCCACAATGACCCGGGCCCAACGGACAACGTGCATTGGAATCGGGGTTCCCGGCTCCCATCGGAACACGCGGTAGATGTAGAGCAGCAGGCCGAGTCTCCATGCCTCCGAGCAGTGCATACAATCTTGGTCTTGCTGGATGTCCTCTTCGCTGCCGAAGTCAAGTGCGGCAGGGGAGATGTGATGCCAGGACTCAAGCGCTCGCTCGATTTGAGCAATCACCGTGTTGTCGAAGGTCACGTACCGCATGGACGACGATTGGCGTTTTTCGGCACTCAGACGCACCACTTGCATGACCAGCGTGACTACACTGTGTGGGCACCCACAGAGGTCAAAGAAATTCCACTTCCGACCATCGGGGTTCGACTGGACGGCTTCGACGTATGCGTACGGCAACACGCAGTCTTCCCGGGACAAGAGACTGGTGATGGCATCCCACCTAAATAGTTAAGCTGGAAAGGCCGAGACGATTTTGCGCAGCCAGGGGGGGGTAATATACCATAACAGCAATCCTATTTGAGCCTCTGCCCGAGCGGACGTGGTCCATGCTTCGATTCCCCCGTGCGCTTCAATGAGGCCATAGGCTCCCTTAAGATGTGTGCTCCAGTATCCAAGGGTGGATTGAGTTTCCTAACTTTCATTATCAACTTGGATTAGGTCCGAGCAACATGAGGGTGTAACTAACATCGAAGGAAAATAAGATCATAATCGCATCAAGCATAGAGGAGCCATCTTCCACATTACCGGACGCGTCGAGGCTCTCGCGGAGGAGTTTTAATGCTGTATGGCGATGGTCATCGGTTGATGGACTCTTAACATGATGACCCGCTAAAGCCATCACCGCATGGACCAGAAAGATGGGTTCCGGAACGATGGTTCTGTGGTATCGAAACGGATTCATCTGCATGTCGGACGTTAAGGGGATCTTGCAGAATTCTATGTTGTCTATGGCTTATTAGTGGGCATTAACAGGAGCGGCTGGGAGCAGAACAAGCGAACATCTTTCAAGAATAAGCCCAAACCGCTGACAAATACTATTGTACAGTACGCTCGGTGGTATAGATGTAGTAGCGTAGGGGAGGTCTGAAGCTGCCACGGGACTTGGCTCTATATTAGCGACTTGACTCGACCATTCACAGAAGGCGCCAAGGCCGATGTTTTCTTCCTCAGCTAACTGTAGCCGTCCGTCGTCTGTCGATTTGGATGAACGTGGGGATAAGCCGTGGTCTTCGCTGTTGCAGCGGGGCAGTTGGAATTTGGCGGTCCTAGAATCGGTCTCAGGGTCGGGGGAATCAGCAGCTCTGGTCGGCGATGCATCACCCGAGACCCCAAATGGCGTCTCTAGGGAGGGGCTGGCTTCCTCGGAAACGTTGACTTGAGAACGAGTTTCATGTTAGCCCACAACCGTACTATTAGACAGACTTTAGAAGTCAGACAAAGGACAGGTCAGTACCATCGGATTCTGAGTTTTTGGGCTCGTAATTAGTGATAGGTTCAACAGGCGCTCCGGAGGGTGGATAAATGATGGCTGGTGGAAAGTGCATGGTCTTACGATCTCTCATAGGGTGCTCTGCAATGAACACAAATTGCTGAGGTCCATCTGCGTTTCCCAACCGACCCCTATTGGTCCTACGGGCTGCTGACCTTCTCACGGGCCTATTGGAGAGAGAATATCCTGGCTTCCAGGATAACTGCATTTTAAGCGTTCCGTAGATACAACGTAGGGTATTGCCCGATTGGTCGCAATATTCGCATCGAGCGATGACGGATACCTTAATGTGGAAGCGAAAAGAGGCATCCTATGAGGGGCGGTTGCAGGCAGGGATCAGTTGACTGTCAGTACCTACACTGACGCAACAAGAGTTTTGACATCCCTTTGATTACTCTGATTCTGCCGGTCAAAATTGGATTTTTCAACACCCCTTGACTGGTTTCCTGTTGAAACACTTGACTGTTGTGGATTAAATTGAATCTTGCCTTCTATAAAAAACTGTCGAACTGAGTATACTGCTAAACACCTTTTGGGACATGATTACTCAGCGTGCACCCAGTTCGCCCTAGTTTGTATGGTAATCAGATAGTTCAATCAATCGCCTCATGGTTGGTTCCCTCGGTACTAGCGCGTACGGATATTCTGCGATCCGACAGAAACACTTAACGTAATTCACTAGTGAGCTGCGCACCCCACCCAAAACGCGTCAAGAAACATACGAAAGGAACTACCCAGGAGATGCATAACTATCTCCTATGGCCCTAATTTTACAGGCTCCTTCAGCATAGCTCTTGTTTGCGTCGAAGGTGGAACTTGTTCCAATTAAACTCCCACTGAGGATTGCCAGTCCAATTTTACCAGCTGCTGCTGCTAGCAGCGTGCGGATACTTTCATAGTAGTTTGCACCGGCACATTCCCCATTTTTCCTCCCGTCTCTTTCGCCATGTATGCCTCCCCCTTTCACCCCTCATCCACACAATCATACGTTGCGGAATCCATTTCATCTCCACCTGCAGCCCTGAGTAGCTTCTCTCGTCCAATTACCTCTTGTCTGCCATGTCGTAGTCGCAAGGTCAAATGTGACCGCCGACAACCGCAATGTTTGGTGTGTGAGCGAGGCGAATATGCCTGTTCTTACGTGTCGAAGCCCCAGTCGCCCGGGCTGGCCTCAGAGTCGGGCCGGGTCACCAAACTAAGCAGTGCCCCCAAGATCTCTTCATCCACGCTGGCCCGAATCAATCCTGGTCTTCAGCGTCTTGGTAACTTCATGGCGCAAGCGAAAGCATATGAGGCATCGGAGCATAGTCCCTCGTCGCTGGACTCGTTCACACGTGCACAATCGACACCCGCCCCTCATAATGCGTCACCTCCACAGCCGCGATCGGAAGAAGATGCACTGATTCTCGATAATGGAGTCCCCCACTTCCTCTCCGGCAAACACTGGGCCTGGATGGCTGCAGAGGTGCGCTCCCCGTTGTTCTTGAAGCTTGTGCCTATGCCAAGGCAAAGCGGTACTACCTAAGCCTCTGCTCCTTAGCTCCAAGGCATCCAATCGGTTCTTGCAGAATCTCAGAATTCCTCCCCCGAACAGGCGCTCGAAGATGTCATTTGGGACGCCGATTCCCCTACAGGTAATGGCGCTACCTTCTGGCCCGATACACGAGAGGATTGTTATTTGCTCCTGAACGTTTTCCTGGCTAATGTCGACCCAATTCACCGAATTGTCCACCGGCCGAGTTTGGGACGTCGCTTTGACAGATTTGTTCGCACCCATTACCTCTTAGAGTACGATCACGCCCCCATCATGACGGGGACCAGTAGCAATATGATTTTCCACCCAAATAATATGGACCCATTCGAGCCGCTGGCCATGTCCATCTTCTACGCTGCCGTCAACAGTATGAAGGATACCGAAACGGTCACCGTGTTCAGCACTGATAGGTCTCACCTCCTGAGTCGATACCGCACTGGAACAGAAGTACATCTGAAACGGCAGAAATTTATGACCTCAAGGAGCTTTGAGGTCTTGCAAGCATTTGTGATTTTTCTGGTAAGTCTCAGGGAGAGAGGAAAAACAGTCCCCATACTGAGCTAAACAATATTCATGCACCAAAGACCGCGCAATATCGGGAAGATGACCTGGGCAAGGTATGGCCGCTGACTGGGCTGGCTATTCGGATGGCGACAGTCCACGGACTCCACCGGGACCCTTTAGCTCTACCGCTGGGCACGATGGATGTTATACAGGTGGAGCTGCGTCGTCGCTTATGGGCGCAAATATGCTACTTAGATTTCCGCGCAGCGGAGGATCATGGGTTTGCGCCTTCCATTCACGAGTCGGACTTCGATACGCGTCGACCTGTCAGCCTGGATGATGCCGATCTGATCGAAGGGGTGGCACCGTCGGTTGGACTCTCGGATGTCCCCAAGTTCACCGACATGACTATCTATCTCCTTCGGGTCACCGCGGTCCAGTATTACGGGCGAATTATTCAGGTGACGCATGCTTCGCGAAAGGGATTGCGCACCAACCCCTGCGGTGTGGGTGAGGCCGAAGCATTAACGGAGCTACAAGGCCTGTTCAACACTGCTGAGACTATCGCCAGCGAGTTTGAGAAGAATCTGGACGATCTCGTTCGATACTGCGATAAGAGGGTGAGTATGCAATCAATGGCCTTAGACTTGAGAAGCCACTTGAAATCCAAATTCTGGGTCATGTTCTGGATTCAAATCTCTCGACAAGATCGCGAGAAGGTCATCAGTCCCGCTATGAGAAGAAAGTTAGCCCTCCGACCCCCCCTCCCCCAACCAGGCAAAGTAAATATGTTTTCGCTGACAGTATCAAACGTCAAGTATATTCGTGGACGCCGCCACAGCCGTAGAGAACTGGTGTACAATCGCCTCCAGCAAGGCCTGTGAACCCTTCCAATGGCATATCTTCTCCCACGCCGGCTTCTACTTGATTCTCTACGTACTCTCCGAACTCCGCAGTCCCGGCTTCCAATCCCCGGAGTGGGCCGATCTCCGCCAGCGAGGCCTCCAATTAGCGAACGCCATCTACGAGATTCGGGGTCAGCATACCACTGGTGCATGGCCCGCAATCATTTGGTTGGTGAATCGGATTCGGTTCCAGCAGGGCCTCGGTTCTGGTATCGCTAGCAACCAGCCAACTGGGACTGGTTTATCTGAGAACAATCCTCCCATGTCGAAGGAATCTTTCCCTGCTGCTCCTCCGGGCTCGGCTGTGATGGGCCTTGATACGGCGGATTTCATGGGTTTGGTGAATCTGGAGGAGTTCGATTTTGCGGACTTCGCCAGTTTGGGTCCGATGGGGTGCCATGGGTTGTCACAGTGACTGATTGCTGGGCTTGATGGATCGGCCAATTTAATTACGTTCATGCAAAGCATCCTTTGTGGGATATGGTGGAATAGGTTCTCATTTCTCTTTCTGGACAGAGTGTTGGAGAAGGGTGGACCGCGGATGGATTAAGGTGTATAGTAGTTTAGATCGCACCTATAAACCCTGCACTGTGTCATTTGGACATACGCTAGCGTTATAGGCTGATTAAGAGCGGCTCCATACACGGTGACTCGAGGTGTAATCTGTGGTATGAAGTGCCTACATATATATGTACCTAACCTTCCAAGGTCACTCTGTGTGTTAATCACCTCAAAGTAAGGTTTGCCCTCTCCTGATTTGACCGGACGAGGAGTGGGTCTCGTACGAGGCGGGAGGCCCCACACCCTCGGCCGAGGTGGATCATATACATTGTAGGGTTGATGATTTTGAATACATAGGTATATATCTGCTTGTCAGAAGAGATGATAGGGGCATTAGCATTCACAAATCAGCATGTCTCTTACGCATAGCAACAATACACCCGAGTCTTCAGCAGCGTTCAACACGATGCAATCCCCAAGAAGCACAGGGACAATGCCAGAGTACGAAACAGACTCGCCCGAAAAGCTCATGCAAGATAATACCAAGGCAGAACTCGGAACCAAGCAAGAAATTGATCCTCATGGTTTGGAACACGTTCGTAGAGGACTTCTTCCGTGATTATGTTTTGTTCCAGCCTTGCAGGATCCGAGGCAGTATACCCCGGGGATGAAGTGGGGTTTGACCTTTATTGTGGCGATGGGAGGGTTGGTCGTTCCGCTGAGTAGTGGTGGTTTGTTCCGTAAGGCGTCCTCTTCCCCAGCCAGAACAAGAAGCTGATATGCTGGATTTCAAACAGCGTGCCTGATAGAGATCGCCGAGGATATGCATACCACCGTGTCGGTGGTCAACTTGTCTATCGCTTTTGGCTCACTCTCTGTTGCCATCACACCCTTGTGGTGGTCATACCTGGCTGAGCTCTATGGTCGTCGACTGGTATACATATCGTCATTCTTTTTCCTTGGGATTTTCAACATTCTGGCTGCTATCAGCCCCAACATCGGCATGTTTATCGCCATGCGACTCCTTGGGAGTGCATCCAGTGCGTCCCTTCAAGCCGTCAGTGCCGGTACCATTTCAGACATGTTCGAAACGCAAGATCGCGGCAAGGCCATGGGCGCGTTCATGCTAGGTCCCATGCTGGGGCCCATGTTTGCCCCTATTCTCGGCGGGGCGCTTACAATGCGTTGGAGTTGGCGCAGCACACAGTGGTTCATGGTCATCTATGGCTGGGTCGTGTTGGCTGTGATGGTCCTTTTCATGCCGGAGACAGCCACCAACCTCGAAGAGAACCGCCGCGAGCAGCGAAACGACGCGACCAGTCCCGGCAAGAAGGCCCTCTACTTCCTCCTGAAGCCCATGGAAGCCGCCAAGCTCCTCCAATACCCTCCCATCCTGATTACAGTCTATTACACCAGCATCGTCTTCGCTACGTACTATCTCATCTGTGTTTCCATCGAAGACACCTTCGCCCTGCCACCATACTCTTGGAGCTCTATCATTGTCGGTGTAGCTTATATTCCCGGGGGCCTGGGCCTACTCTTCGGTGCGATCATTGGAGGCCGCTGGCAGGATTATATCATGGCGCGGACCGCTCGAAAGGAGGGCCGATACGACGATAAGGGGGAGTTGGTTCTGCACCCGGTCGATCGTCTGGGCGAGAACTGCCTCCTTGGGGGCATTCTCTTCCCTGGGGCGCTCTTGTGGTGGGGATGGGCCGCCGATAAGCATGAGTTCTGGCTGGTCCCGGTAAGTTCATTTATTTCATCGCCTTTAGGCTTCAAGCGGGGACTGATCTACTTTATAATAGCTCCTCGGAAACTTCTTCTACGGGGTTGGCGGAATGATTCTCACCAACGTCACCATGACAATGCTGACGGAATTTACACCGAAGAACTCCACCATCGGCGTCGCGGTGAATAACCTCATGCGAAACAGTCTGTCATGCGTGAGTGCGATCATTGCGCAGCCGTTATTTGACGCGATTGGGACGGGTTGGTCGTTCACGGCGGTTTGTTTATTCTGTCTGCTCAGTGGCGTCCCGTTGATCCTTCTGCGGATCAAGCGGGATGAATGGAGTCGGCATATGAAGGCTACGCTAGGGGGTGAGTAGGAGTTTCTGTGGAAGATGAGGGGATGGGGAGCCTGATCATTACTAGGATTACGGGTCTCCACCCGGCTACTGGCTGCACTTAATTTCGTTATTTGTTTGTGTGAGAGGAGAGAGGATTATAAAATGGAAACTGAGAAGTGATTACTACTGTGCTACCTACGCCCGTGCCCGCCTAGGTGGTTATGCTAAAGTGTCGTCATGAAGTAAGAAGTAACATATTTAGGAATAGTGGTCTCTATGCTAATTTTGTTCGGCTCCAAAATGATGGTAAAAGTAAACTACATATGTATGTATTTACATATACACATAGGAAAAGACCTGATCAGTGTATTCGCACAGCGTCACCGAGATGGCGAAGCAACAGGTCAGCTACGACCTCGACCTTGGTGGCAGCTTCCTCAAGGGCCTGCCCCCTTCAATCAAAAGATACACGTATCATGGAGAGGAGCAATTGTTTGACATCTTCCAATCCGAATTCACTCGTTTTGAAGCCTCCACCGAAATAAGCGAAGAAATCCTCTTCCACGCAAGCAAAGAGACTATCGAAACCATTTTCAATCCTGAAAACGAAGACGCCTCTATCTCAAAACTTTGCACTTCCTTTGACCTTATTGAACAGCTCTTCTTAGTCACTATGGAATCAATGCCACACGCCAAAGCCGCCGATCTCATGAACAGTGCGATTCGGGACACCCTGACACCAATGGGCTTGTCCAGTTGCCTCAACGCATATCCGAGTGCACACGTGAGAGGACAAAGTCGGGGAAAGAAGCCTGACTATAGCTGGAACCCCATCAGGCAAGAGCCTGGCCAGCCCAGCTCGCCCTCCGTTACCCTCGAAGTTGCGTACTCAGAATCCGACTCAAAACTAAATTCTGATGTCCGATTCTGGTTGAATCCAGATGATGGCAATGCAAATATATGCCTAACTCTCCGCATCAATCGCTCCCATCCAGAAATTATAATTGAAGTGTGGGAGAGGCAAAACAACAAGGCCCATCGCTCCCAGCTCACATTTATCACCAGCCAAAACAACCAGACACACGTCAGCGACCATCCTCTCGTGATCCCGTTCGTCAGTTTGTTCCGTCGCAACTCCACTCGTCCAGGGGAGAGAGACCTGGCCATCTCCCAACAACAACTGGCGCGTGTCGCAGAGGGGATTTGGGCAGAGCAGGGGTGGTAATTTTTCTTTGTTTCCTTTCATTTTTCGATGGTTGATTCAGGGTCATACGGAAGGGCAGTTTGTGGATACGGATTCACCTTTCTTTTAATGGCTTGCTTTCGTCTACTCCATATTGATTTTATCATCTGAGGCTATGGTTGATTCTACTAAGTAAGCTGACCTACGAGTCGTGCAATGGATAAAGGGTGCTCTCACTAGCACATGATAACCACCCACAAGATCGTGGTATTATTGGAGATAGGGTGGCCTTGCGATGGAATCCTACAGGATCTTCTTCTAGTCGTAACCACAGCAGATTGCAACCTTAGAAACCTCCGAGCAAACTCAGCCAATTTTGCTATTTTGATGAAAAACTACCACATCCATGGCAATGTATTTCATCCACTTGAAGAGGCGTTGGTTGAGAGTTTGAGTAACGCTATTTTTAACGATAACAATAGTGTCAAGCCTTGACGACGTCAAATCCCTCCTCCCAGTTATCTAGGGCCGCCCGAATCTCCGCGGCATAAGCGGGGATACCACCGGCGTAGCAAACTGGCTCATAAACCTTGCCAGGGATGCTGCCACCCATGTACGTCGACTGCGTCGTGGGGAAGAGGGTCCTGTTATTGAGCTCCAAGACATGGTTCTTCCACTTATCGGCAGCCTCAATCTTGGGATTGATGTACTTAATGCCATTGGCCTCGATTTTGGCAATGGCGTCGGAAATCCACCGGCCTTGGACCGCGACTGACGTGGGGCCATTACTCAGGAGCGTCGGGCCGTGGGCACCATAGATATGGAACATATTGGGGTAGCCGCTCACAGTAGTACCGAGGTAGGTCTTTGCACCTGGAATCCATTCCTTCTCAAGCTCGGCGCCGTCGATGCTCTTCAGGCCAAGCTGGGTCATGACGCCGGTAACAACATCCTGAGAGTATTAGCGCTTGTGCTACCTTGCTGATGTATCAAATAGAACTTACAAATCCAGTCGCGACAGCAATGACATCAAGTTCATGGTGAGTCCCGTCCTCGAGGGTGATACCGGTCTCGGTAAACTCCCTGATCGGATTATTTTTGATGTCAACCAGATGCACCGACTCCCGATTGAACTGCTCGTAATATGTTTCTTCAAGACATGGCCGCTTGATACCGAAATAATGTGGCATTTTCCGAGGCGCGAGCAACTCCCTCGTCTCAGGGTCGCCGATACGATCACGGGTCTTCTTGGCCCAGAAATCGTACGATGCTTTGTTGGCCTCAGGGTTGATCAATGTATCCTTGTACAGAGAAACCCAATAGCGGAAGCCACCTTCCTTCCAGATTCTCTCATAGAAGGCCTCGCGTTCCTCGGGTGTGTCGTCAAACGTGTTGCGTTCGCACCAATCATACATGAAGCCTGCAAAACTGGTCTCGCGGTACCGGAACAGCTCTGGGTAGTATGGCTTGATGCGCTCCTGCTCCTCAACACTAAGGTCCCGCTTGCGCATGGGTATGGCGAGGTTAGGAGTTCGTTGAAAGACCTTGAGGTTGCCAGCCTCAGGGCCCCAAGCCTGTGTCATTTGCACACCCGACGCACCGGTGCCGATGATAGCACAGCGCTTGCTTTTCACGTCAATTTTCTCCTCGGGCCAGAAAGATGAGTGGTGCAGGACACCTTTAAATTTATCTATGCCAGGCCACGGGGGAATATAACGCTTGGCGGCCTAAGCGGTTCATTAGTAGGTCTTTGTTTGACAGACGGATGTGATTACTTACAAAGCCGGTTCCAAGGACGAGGTATTTGGCCTTGGTCGTGCGCCCATCTGCAGTTTCGATATTCCATCTTCCCTCGTTCGTGTCGAACTGAGCTCCAACCACGACGGTGTTGAAAGCGCAGTCCTTCTTGATACCGACTACTTTATCCACGTGATCGAAGTAATCACGCAGGTTATTGTAGTCGGGGTAGTTGTTGGGCCAGTTCCACGTGTTGTATACCTCGGGCCAAGGCAACTCATACTGGGGGACTTCGGAGTCGACCCGCGCTCCGGGATAGCAATTCCACCGCCAGGTGCCACCAGTGTCGTTGCCGGCCTCGAAAATGACCGTCTTCAGTCCGCAGTCCCGAAGGGTCTTGAGCATAAACACGCCGGCTATCTCGTTAGCTGGGGAATGATTGAAACCTATACTACCAACTTACCAAACCCAGCACCGACGACCAAAGCATCGACCTCGAGTCCTTCGGCATATGGTCCAGTCTTATCGGCATGGATAATGGAGTAGTCGGTAAGCTCAGTGTTATATTTCTTCGGCTTGGAGACTGTCTCTCCTATGCTACCCATCTCGATTAAAGATTGATATCACCAAGTGTCGCAGTTGATGTAACTAAATAAGAAGATTGATTGTGGGAGTGTCATAGAGCTTTCTTTCTTGGGCACCTCCCCCTACTTATATACATTCACTAACTTCTTACTGCTGATGTTAGCGTATGCTGTCAATAGTACCTTCTTCCCTAGTTTGCCTATGATACAGCTAGCAGCAGGGTACCCCTCTTCATGCACCATCTGCGGCATATTTTTGGGCCATCACGACAATGTGGCTTTTGCCCAGAAATTTAGTCAAGCGTTAAAGAGTATTATTCATGGTCTGGCTATTGAGACCTCCCACCGGCATCACCTCCCATGACCTTCTTAGCTGCATTTTCCCAAGCCGTCTTCTATGGTGTCCTTTTCCATCATCCCGAAGGGTAAGAATAGCCGAACCAAAGTGATGAATGTAATCTTCCAAAAGAATCGAAGCGCCTCAAAACTTCATTGTCGCGATGGCCCCCAAAAGCTGCCGTGTACACATCACACTATTACATAGGTGTACATGAATAAGGAAGGGAGTTCGTCCGGTCGCCAGGTCCTGGGAATTACTGGTAGGTTATTGGAGTTACCCATGACCTGTTGACATGGTGAGGTAAAAGGCCTCTTACTAGCTATTACCAGTACAGGGTGACCTGGTGACCTGGCGAGCGAAAGGCCTTGCGAGGTTGTATGCATTCCAGGACCCGTCATCACAAAGTATACTGCAGCTGTGGTTGGACCGGACGCCTTCGGCCTCTCCAGGACTAGTTGCGGAGCGAGCCGAGACAACCATGGAACCTTCTGAGGTCGAGACTTTCCCCGCACGCAAACCTTGGAAGTACCTGAGCACCTACCTACCCAGGTAGGTGCGAGAACTGACCTGTCCAGTGGACAAACACCGCTACTTTCCGCGACAATTTAAAAAGGTGGGCTAAGATTGCGCCGCAACAGGAGCAGGTTGTCGATCATGCTCGCTTCGCACGGTCGCGCCGATATCGGTTCTGCATGATGGTAGTAGACCAAGAGGCCCTAGACTTGGTCTTAAGCGTACCTGATCCTGAGATTGACCCAGAAGATTGTATTGACACTAGGTTTGTGCGTTTGGTCAACGGAGTTTGGAAGTCGGAGGAATTGGCCAAGAAGGAATTGGCGGAGCGCGGGACACCCCTTGTCTGGGAAGGGTATGATCGCCTAGAGGAATGCACTTTCCAGGACGTCGGCTGGATTAATGTGTTTTATGATAATGCGAAAGCATGGGCGTTCTTGAACATCTGTGATAACCTGGACTGGTCGACATATTATCAGCGTCCTCCGGGAATTCAGTGCAACATGTAAAATAGATTGTTGCAATGAAGAAAGTAATGAAACTTATCTTGATTCAGTTTGTAGCCCAAGAATTCATGACCTCTTTGGCGTATCTCTGGTGCTCTAGTTTAAGTATACATCACTCTGAAAATGGAGCATTCGTGGGTTGCGACTAGGCGCTATCCACGGATGGTTGAGACCTTCCCCGCACCCAGTTACGCAATCCACAGCGGTTCTGCAAAGTATTCCTCCACTGTTTGAAACTTGCGCCCTTGCTCTTCATTTTGCTAGACCTTTTGTCAACACATACACACGATTCCCACAATTGTCTATTCCTTTTTAGACAGAGATCAATAACATGTCTCTCAATGCGCAAGTGCATTCGCATCTCCGTGATATTGTGGACAAAGCCTGCGAAGACCAAAAGACAGGTATTCCCGGAACCACAGTCGTGGTTGTTGGCAAAGATGGCAACGAACTATTCGCCCACTCTGCGGGTAAGCGAGGCACGGGGTCCAAAGACCCCATGAACTTGGACAACATCTTCTGGATCGCATCTTGTACTAAGATGGTGGCTGGTGTTGCCTGCATGCAACTGGTTGAGCGGGGAATTCTCAAGCTGGATGATGCGGAGCAGACAGAGGGTCTTTGCCCCGAATTGAAGAGTCTCCAGGTTTTGCTGCCAGATGGTAGTCTTGAGGAGAAGAAGCATGGGATAACTCTGCGAATGCTGTTGACCCATACTTCCGGATTCGGGTATACGTTTTTCAATGAGAGATTGAGACAGTGGTCGTACCCGGTTGGTGTGGATGAGTTCTCTGGCCGGATTGAAGATATGAAGATGCCTCTGCTATTCCAGCCTGGTGAAGGCTGGGAGTATGGTGTAAGTATGATATATTCCGAATCACGAAATGCATGGCTAATGGGTAAAGGTTGGTATCGACTGGGCGGGGATCGCACTGGAACGTGCAACTGGCCTGACGCTCAACGACTACCTACAGAAAAATGTCTTTCTGCCACTTGGGATCAAGGACATGTCCATGATCCCTAGCCATGACATGCGCCAGAGGCTGGCGTACATGAATAATCGAAGCCCAAATGGCACCCTGAGGGCCCGAGACCATATTCTTCGGGCGCCTTTGGTTGTCGACCTAGAGAACGAGACTGAAATCGCCAGAGTGTTCAACAGCGGCGGTGCGGGTATCTTTGCCAAGCCGCAGGAATATTGCAGTGAGTCGCGAGTAGCTTCGAGATTCTGTCGAGGTTCCACATACTGACTGGTCTCTGCAGAGGTCCTCGCTGTGCTGTTAAATGATGGAACGTGCCCTAGAACGGGCAGCAAGCTGCTTCACAAGGAGACCGTGGACGAAATGTTCTCTAACCAGATTCCCCGGTTCCCCAACTACAGCCGTCAAAGCGTCCCAGATGCAAAACCAGACCTAACCAACCCCTTTCCTGAGCTATACCCAGTTCCTGGGGACCCACCACAGGGTTGGGGCCTCACGTTCATGCTGAGCAATGGCGGCGCGACGGGGCGGTCGAATAGCACAGGGCACTGGGCTGGGCTGCCGAATCTGTGGTGGTGGGCGGACAGGGAGAGGGGTGTTGCGGGAATTGTTTGTACACAGATTCTGCCGTTTGCGGACGTTAAGGTCAGTGAGCTATGGGGAGCAGTTGAGGCTGAGATTTACAAAGCCCTCAGTGAGGCTTGATGTCGAAGGTAGTGGAAGACCTTATTCCAAGTTTTGGATCTAATTCGCGATCGTTTATTCGGGAACCAGAGAATTTGTTTAAATAAACCTATCTGGTCTGTCCAAATCGGCATGAGTTTTGGAAGCTCTCTGCTCTTGTTATCAATCTGTCAATAGGATCGGAGCAGATGGAGGAAGTGTCGGATTCAAAAATAGTATCGTTGTTAGGGAAAGGACAGACAGATGCATAAGAGGATAGCTTCTAAAGCCTTCTATGGACCACATAGCCAAAGAAGCAGAGTTAGACTTCTCTACCCGCCTCTCCCATGCCTTTATTTTAAGAAAGCCCAGCGTTAGGCAGAAAGAAAGTACGTATATATCCAGGTAGTCTACGGAATATGCCGACACAGATATTTCCAGTTCTGATTCCCTGCGTTTAAGGACCCTGCGTCTAAGGACTGAAGCGATATCTCAAACGAGTAGCCGTGAAGTGAAACCGACATAATAATCCCGCTTACCTAGCTGAACCCCCTCCTTCCGGAGAATACCATACGCAGTAGTGAGGTGGAAATATATGTTCGGCAAGGCAATGGTATGGGCATAGGTAGCACCGCTGATCTCGGCCGCCTGCTCCGGGCCCATTTGAGTGAGCTTCAGCTTATCAGGGTGCTGATTGACGACGTCCTTGTCGGCGTCTTTAAGGGCCTTTAGCACCTTTTCAATCCGCTCATAGCATTCGGCATATGTGGTGGGTTTGCCTTCAGTGATTACCGGCTCCCGACCGGTTAGGCGGGCGACGAGGTTTTCTGAGAATTGGGTTGCGAGGCGCACTTGGTCGGTCACTGGATACATGTCCTCACAGAGACGTGCGTCGAGCAGATCGGTAGCATTTGGGCGTTGCTCGGCTTGTTGGAGAAAGTGCGATAGGGAGCCCAGGATGTGTTGGGCCACCACAATGGTTCCGTCATAGAAGGTGTGGACCATGATGGAGTAACAGGTTTGATGTATGAGATCTTGAGAAGAGGAGAATTGAAGAGTACAGACATGGGTGAGACTAGTCTTTAGTCTCATCCCATTGAGGGGTCGGATCTAACCACTCCTAGTTAAAAGATGGGGGCTGAAAATGCTACATCATTAATCTATACAATGCTAGCTAGGGGGTGAATCTAAGCATATGAAGTGGTCTGAGGAGTCTAATGCCATGTGGATTCATATGCTTCTATCGGCTAGCTTTTTTTGATTCCCTGACTCGAGTCTCCCTTGCTCTTACGAAGGCATAACGGCGTATCGTAAACACCCCGCAGCATGGGCCAGACAACAGGTGGAAACCTTAGTACAACTACCAAATTTTTTTTATTCTCTTGAAATCTCAAATATGCCATGGTCCCATGTCATGTTGGTGCTCGGAGTTGTGTACATGACCTTCTAAGATAAATTTTCTCGAATTCTACAGCTCTCCGTCCCCGCATAGTTGTCCTCGACGTCCAGCTCCCACAACTTCGAAGTTACTACAAGTTCAGTACTTCTCCGTTGGAGGCTCACTCGATGCTCTGAATCTCGGGCGGCCGAGTATAATACCTCTCCCGACCAAAGGGGTCAGAGAGGTCGACGAAGCCGTTAGCCTCCACCTGACGGTAGTGCACTTTCATCCAACCCACATCATGTTGCGTACACCCTTCCAGTGGCTCTTCGTCCGGCGGAGAACGGTCATTCTCCTCCAATTCATCCTCGCTAGGTTCCTCCAGCTCCCATTCACCGTTCACCAGCCGAACGAATCCCGCTTCTTCGTCGTCGTCCGGGGCGCTTAGGACCGACTCTAAGGCCTCCTGGTCCACTATCACGAAAGACCGGTACCGGCCGCTTTGTCCACGGTCGCCACTATCGACACCTTGTTCTTCTTTGAGTGCCGTGGTAACCCACTGATTGAAGTGATCGCGTAGAACAGCAACAGTTGCGTCCTCAAAGGAAGGGTCTTCTAAGACTGTTCGGCTGAACTTGCCGAGCAGATCCATACCAGTGTATTACTCGAAGAATTCCGGTACGAACTTTAAGAGCGAACCATGAATTTCTCCCAATCAGAATCGCTTTGGTACGTGCACCGATAGATCACAAAAAACCCCATGTTTTGAACCCATCCGCGTCGAGGATCGTCTCGGGGTTGTCGGCCCCATTGTGTCTGGTGGATAGGGAGGGATCTCGTTTTGAAAGTAATGAAACTTCATCCTTGACAGGGCACTGTGAGGAACACGTCATCGCACTGGAGAAGGGGCTGTAGCTGGTCGTAGCTGCAAGGGATTCGGGCGGTGTAGAAGGCGGGTAGATGTGAGCAGGAAAGCGAACAACACCTCGTAGGGCTGGGTGAATGAGGTGGCTGGAAAGATGGGAAATTCGAAGAGCTGCCTCGTTATCATCAACGCAGAAATCGTTGAATACATACTTACTAATAGGTGACAAAGGGGTAACTAGAAGGGAAAAACATATGCTGTACATGTTGTCATTAGTACCTACACGCCCGGGCATATCCATGGATCGGTACCTCGGAAGGCCCAAGACCCACTTATTTTCTGCCAGTAGAAATTTGGCTTCAAAAAACTCCTGACTCGTCGCGCTACGCGGGTGGGGTGTATTCTAATAGGAACAGGTAGGCGGTATAGACAGAGCGGTCAAGGGTAGAAGACCAATGAAACGCCACTTGAATCCGTAGCAGGACAGGGCGGTAAGTCCAATCATATCTGCGAAAGGGACAGAGCATGTAAGCTCCGTTGATTGCAGGATGTCCATGTTTGCCCGAAGCCCGGTGTCTCGTGTAGTCTATACCCTTGCGGAATTTTCCCGCAACACACTGAATGTGGATCCTGTTCTACTTGTGAACTCTGGACTTATTGTGGTTGGCCTCATCACTTCACTCCGCTCCGCTGGGAATGTATTATACAGCTACGCCGAAAAGACATGCTTGTCAACTGTACACGTGAGGGCAGAGGACCCCCTCTATGATGATATCGTCCGATGGATGAACGATCATGCTTTCCAGCGTCGCAATTTTCTCTCCGTCTTGGCACAGACTACGAACCGCTCCGACAACGACAAGGCTTTAATACGATCTCCATTAGCGCATCCGAATTCTGACGGGCTGATCAGCTACCGGGAAGTAGAGGACAACTCGTTCTTGGAGCTTAAGCCTTTCCGTGGATCACGTCTCTTTCGCTTCAAGCGAACGTGGATGCTTTTCACTCACGCAGCGAGTAGCCCTGAAAGTGTTCCACAAGTCGATACCAATCCCCCGTTGAAGTTGCAGTGCCTCAGTCTTTCGCTTTCTCCGATCAGGAACTTCCTCGACGAAGTTCGTGCCTACGGCCGTAAGGTCTCTGTGTCTAGCATTACAGTCTACCGCACTAAGCCCAATTCCCGAGACCACATCCGTTGGAGCTCAGCCGCTTCGCGACCATCCAGAGACATCTCCACTGTGATCCTTGATAATCACAAGAAAGAAACCATCCTACGGGATATCAACGAGTACCTTCATCCGCATACAAGGCAATGGTATGCTAACCATGGCATCCCGTATCGGCGTGGATATCTGTTCTCCGGGCCCCCGGGCACAGGCAAGACGAGTCTTGCATCTGCGATTGCGGGTGTCTTCGGTCTGGATATATATGTGCTGAGCTTGCTCGATCCTACCATGACAGAATCGCAATTCAGCAGGATGTTCTCTGAGGTGCCTACGCGGTGCGTGGTGCTTTTGGAGGATGTCGATGCTGCAGGGTTGAATAGAGGTGGTCTGGCGTCAAGCGAAGATCTCACTCAATCAGGACCAGAGACCAAAACACTAGTAAACACATCTGTATCTCTTTCCGGCCTGCTCAATGCAATCGACGGTGTTTCGTCCCAAGAGGGTCGCATATTGATTATGACAACAAATACGCCGCAGCGGTTGGATCGCGCTCTCATTCGGCCTGGTCGCGTGGACATCCATATTCGATTTGAGCTTCCATCTCAAGAGGAATTGCGAGATCTCTTCTTGAGCATATACAGCGACATGTTTGAAAACGCCGAATTCTCTCCGGGGGAGCAGAAGATGGACATGGCAAGGCTGAATGAACTGGCAGTGCACTTTGCAGGGTGCCTACCGGAGAGGCAATATAGTCTTGCTGAAGTACAAGGCTTTCTTCTGCAGTATAAACGCCGACCGGAGGAGGCTTGTGACAATATCATAAGCTGGGTCGAGGAGATGGAATATGAAGAATAGAAATGCAGCTGTTTTGGCTGGGTGGCGTCAAAGAAAGATGGCGCCCTTTTAGAACATGCTGATCGCGTTTTACATCACCTGGATCTGTATCATAATAGACTTTTATTTAATTTTACTCGACTCCTAAATCTTTTTCGGTTGCAACATCCATCGTCAATATCAGACTATGTCTTAAAGCTTTTCCAGGCAGAGTTGTCAACGATAGTAAAACACCCCCAGTGCCTCTCTTTCAGAGTCTGAGTCTAAGCTTCAGCTAAAATCTAGTGTTTTGACCCCTATACCTGTTTAACTTCATGTCTCTCGTTTCAAGAATACTTTAGTTTCTCTAGGAGTTCAGTTGCCGTAGCCTCAAAAACAACAACAAAATGAAGCCATATTCGCATTTAATTGATCAAGATATTGGATAGCAATGGATCCATTGCTAACTGGATACCTATCTACAAAGATTCTGGGGAACCTATTTAACTATTAAGAGCAATCACGGCTAAAACAGACGTCGCGTCCTTCGTAGAAGCAGAAATCACATCCTCCGAGACTGCCCCCGTTCTCCACATCCCCAATCCCACAAAACGTCCGTTCACAGAATAGTATGTGCCTACGCTGCGACTTTTGCGGACTTGGCGCTCTTCATCCCAGAACCATTCAAACGACCGTAAGTTCAGCATGGGCTGCAGCACATATTGGGTCGCCAACGAATGGATGTATTGGCTATCCATGGAGGTTAGAATCGACTGCCATTTCTCGGTGGAAAGGTTTCTTCCTAGCAGGATCCCAGCTCCGCGAGCGTCCCAGGCGGGTTTGAGTATGTACCAGTGCTTGATCTCGGGGTTGATGTAGGTGTGATCGAGGAGGTCTCTGAACTCAGCTGTTCCAGGGAGGATGGTAGGGATGATATGTTCACGAAGGGTCTGCGCTTGTGCAGGAGACAATACCCGTTGCGTATCCACGAGGCTGTCTAGCTCCTGGGGGATAATTCCCAAGATTCGTTTATCGTGGGCGAGGAACACACTCCGCGGGTCATTTCTGCAGCACGCGGCAATGTGTCGTACCATCTCGGGGGATAGAGAGAAGAGCTCAAAGTCATAGAGCTGCAGGCCCACCATGTGCACTGGTTCCAATATCTCACCATCTACTTCCAGCAGGGATTCAGAGGCAGTTTTGGCCGTGGGATCTGCACCCCAGACACAGCATAATGTGAATCCTGTTTGGCTAGTTGCACTGGGCACCAGACGAAGATCACCAGGCTTGACAGTTCTCGGTCTGCTCCCGGTTCGCTCTTCGATAAGACCGAAGAGAGGGCTATCGGACGGGAAATTTTGACTTTCCTTGACAAAGTAAATGGGGCCATCCGAGTCGAACAAATCAAACAGGCTCTCTTGAAGTACATTGTACTTAGTGGCTGGTTCGATCAAGGGAGTGTTCCATGTGCTGCCGGCTAGTGCCTCATAGGCCGTTGCGACGTAGTGGAGAAAACTGATCGGAAACCAGCCGTTGATTTCACAAACGCGAAATTCTGGGATTTCACGATCCGTCACACGGAGCAAGACATCTAGTCGCAGATTGCCTTGGTGGCCTCGGAAGCGTGGCATGATACCATCTGCAGTCGCCTTACCTACCCACTGCAAGAGCTCCTCAACATGGGCTTCCAATGGCATTCGACTCGGTAGATCAGCCTCCTTATCTGTCCACCATCCTTCGATGATGTTATTCAGAGCTATGGCCAAGGCTTATTGAAGGTCTCCAGCTCCTTTACAAACTGCCACGGCAGGAGTGCTGGGTGAGGATTAAGTCTTTTCGCGGCCCCGGGAAGTGCACCATACGGACGAACATATTCCGCCAATCTCTCTTGCAGTGCCTTGCTTTCAAGAATGCGAGTTTCCGGATGAGTCTGTTCTGGTAGAACCAGGTTTTGCGGATCCTGTGTGCCACTCAAGGAGATTTGAAGCAGCCACGGCGACTTTTTGGCGAGAACACTAGGTATCTCTTTTTCAATGATCGCCTCAGTCTATCGCTGGCGCTGTCAATAAAACGCACTCATACTTTTGAACGAGGCACCCATCCTTATTTTCAAGAAGCTTTTGAAAGGCATCGTCTCTTTGGTAAAGTAGCGATACATCTCCTTTCCGAGGGGCCCCTCGCCTGTCTCGAGAATCTCGGAGAGCGCCGACCGCACGACGGCCCATCCGTCTTCTGCACCTTCCAGGCCGAGCGCATATAGCATGTAGCCGACGTTGTTCTGCAGAAGGGCATGATGAACCCTGTTCCACACTTGGTCCAGGTCATCCGTACAGAGCCCAGCATCTACATCAAAGTCCTGCTCTTTTAGCGTCGGCCCATGGAGCTTCACTCCGGCTAAGTCTCGGACTGCAAATCCCTTGATCGCCTTCGACTTGCGACAAATTCGAGCGACGGTATTCTGGGCATGGAGCTCACATCCAACGCCATGACGCAGTAACGGATCCGAGGGACGCGGAATTGACGGTAACAGGTTTAGTCTGGTTATTGGCTGAGTGGAGCTGGGTGAGCGAAGTTGAGTGAGCAGAAATAGTGAGAATAAGATGATAAGCAATTGTTAAAAATTTGGAGAAAAGGATGTGGAAGGACTCTTCCCTGCAGAAATATATTACCATATTTATTGTTCAGTACGGAGTACTCTGTAAGATCTCTGTCAATGTAGATCTCGTTCTTCTTGTTTTATAACAACTGAGTGCTATCCTACAGGCTCTCTCTCTTGAAATTAGCAGTAACGTAAAATGGTTGGTATACGTAGGTGGTATATGCCATACACCCCGCTAGCAAGAATTAATCTGTTCTTGGCGGAGCCACATTGGCAGAGGGGTGGGGTAGCTGAATGGTAGTGCTGCTTAATATTGAATAAAAAGTCTATGACCACCTTATTTACCGCTAGTTTCTACCATGATCCTGCCGCACCAGAAAAACTACAGTTTCACTTACTCCGACAACCCAAGAAAACCCTAGACTGGAGCACGAACGACAATAGTCAATCAATCGTTCGACTAAATGATATATTATATAGACAGGCTTAAAGTGACAGCCGAGTGATCAAGCGCAATTCGTTTGGCATCCTCCTAGGAACCATGTTATTTTCCTCCTTCGAATATGATCTTCTGGCTCTTGACGTGGTTGAAATCGTCGTACGACTGGAGCGCCTGCGACAATGGCCTGATATCCGTCACCATGAAGCTATCAATTTAGCCTTTCATCCGAGTGCGAAAATTACGGAAAGGATAACTTACTCCAAGACATCCTGCTTCTTGACCAGCAACGCCAGGGCATCCTCGAAAATACTGCGAACTGGACACCGTCCCATCCGGATCTGGAGATTCTTGCTGTATGCCTCGTTGCCCGTCCAAGGAATCTCGCCATTATGCACCCCTACACTGGAGATGCGTCCCCACGGCCGCAGCAAATCAAATGCCATCCGCAGCGCATTACTGTTTCCGACCACCTCGATCGCAACGTCGGCACCTCTTCCCTCTGTCAGGTCCATTACCCGATTGCGCAGAGCCTCTCCATCCGCATGGAAATTCCAGGGTTCCGCCCCCAAACTTTGAGCGAGCTCCAACCGGGATGGTACGCTGTCGATAGCAATAAGATGCTTCGGCTTGTACTCAAGGGCACTGATCAAAGCACAGATACCGACCGGTCCACATCCAAACAGTAGCACTGTGCTGGTTTGTACTACTGCATTGTCAGTGTCCTTGAAAGCGTTCTTGGCGGCAAAGAAGCCTGTCGGGAGGATATCCGCCATCAACACAAGCTTCTTTTCATCAACCCCCGCTGGAGCGGTGACGAGAGTGGTATCTGCCAGGGGCACACGGACATAGTCGGCCTGGCCACCATCCAGCGCCGCGGTACCGTACAGTTGGCATGAAGAACACCGTGATGAGCAGCCGTGCTTGCAGTAGAAACATTCTCCGCAACTGGTAGTGAAAGGGGAAACGATGCGATCGCCGACACGGAATCTCTGGACTTGAGAGCCCACAGCTGCAACTTCGCCCGTAAATTCGTGGCCCATCACAAATCCGGTTCCAGACGGTTGGTGCCCGCGAAAGACATGGAGTTCGCTTTATTGTTTTACGATATTTAGAAATGTAGTGAACAGAATGTAAACAAGTAGACAGCTTACCTGCCGCACAGAGCAGTGTAGCGGATTTTGACAATGGCATCAGTAGGGTTGATAATCTCGGGCACTGGTCGCTGCTCCAAACCAACCTGAAGTGGGCCTTTAAACACAACAGCTTGCATTTTTTCCGATCCGCTTTCCCCTTCTTGAGGTTCAGTTATGGCGAGAGGATAGTCAGTGAAATTTATGGTCGCGGCAAACAGCACAGCAGCGAAATAGACACAGAATCAGGGATTCGAATATCGGACAACATTCCGAGAGGCGCATGTCTGGATCCACTACAATACAGATTTCGGGGTTTTGGGACATTAAGCCAGCACTGGAGTCAGCCAAGACCAAATCTTAGAGTCCAAACATCGGTCAACATCCCGAACGGTTTTTGCTGGACCCGTCATCAATGGCGCAGACCCACAACACCGTTTACCGTTGATTGCCCGCTGTAACATAAGTCTGCAGAAGCCGGGTCGGCATATCCTAATCCTGCCACAGCTAAGAAAGCATCGAGAGTTGAAGGCAATTGATACTAACCTCGACATTCTTGACTGCCTGGCTTTCGGCAAGATGCCGCTTGACGTCCCACCACTCCTAATCTTAAAGGCTCCAGCCGCCAATGTCAATGACTGGAAAGCAAATGCTACGATGGAGCAAACATGTGCAATGCCTTTTACACTCCTTTTCCATTTTATCTAAATAATACTAAGGACCTTACGCGAGTTCTTACGGCCAAATGTCCATAGCAAGCACTATATTGCCGTTATCCGTGCTTACTGATAAATGAGAGTGAGCTCTAATATAACCGGAACCGACAATTCCCAAGCCGGATCCGGTTTTCTGATTTGTGACAGTCTGTGCTCTTGTATCAGGCAACGCGAAACGAGGGGATTCTAATTTCGGTTCACTCCGACAACGGCTCCGCGCATTTGATGTCCATTTGTCAAAGAACTTACTGTAGAAGCCTCGGAGTCCTCGGTCGTACCGCAGGGTAGCCCTATTTTTGGGGTCCACTCCATGCGTGCTATCCCTGCCAAGAATCCTCTATGGCTAATACTTGCTGAGAAAAAGACTGGTATATTTAACCCCAAGGGACGGTTAGATACGTCTTACCTTACCTATTCAATAATTTCTTTCCCTTTTGATGTTCCAAAGAAGATTATCAGAATGACGGCCAATATTCAACGTTTGCCCTTCGTGGTGAGTGTATCGGAAGCATGCCGACAGGCCACAAGTTCAAGAATGCCTCCGCTGACAGATGTATGTACTTTAGTTACGGGATCCGTCCCTCTTTAACTGCCGCTCATTCTCTGACGGCGAGTGGGTTGAGGCTAAAGGTGGTGGACTATTCGACGTTCAAGGTATGACCGAAAGAAGGCCAAGTCCTCCGCACGTCTTCATTCGGAAGTCGACTGACATGACCGCACAAAGATCCGGGAACGGGCAAGACCTTCGCATCTTGCCCAGATCTCATGGCTGAGGAAATTGACGACGTTGTGAAGTCATCCTACAGAGCATTTCAATCTTACCGTGTGGTAAATCCCCGAGTTCGCGCCCAGCTGCTATTGAAATGGCATGGGCTTATCTGTGCGAACCGCGATGATCTGGCTACAATTTTGTGTCACGAATCTGGGAAGCCATTAATGGAGGCTTATGATGAAATTGACTATGCAACGGGCTTTACGTGGTGGTTTGCTGGAGAAGCAGAAAGGATTCGTGGCGATATCAGCACACCATCCGCCCCAAATCGCCGAGTACTGGTTTTGAAACAGCCTATTGGCGTGTGTGTTGCTCTGGTTCCATGGAACTATCCTGTTGCGTCAGTCATTTACCTTCTGCACTGCTGCAATGAGGAACACTAACATGTCAGCAGGATGGCTCTGCGCAAAGTGGGTGCAGCACTCGCTGCTGGGTGTACTATCATTGCTAAACCGTCTCCGGAGACCCCTTTGACGACACTTACCCTGGCATACCTGGCTGTAAAAGCAGGATTTGCACCGGGAGTGTTCAACGTGGTCACAACCTCAAACGAGAATACCCCTCTACTGTCGGAGGCACTATGCAAACATCCGTTAGTCCAAAAGGTTTCTTTCACCGGGTCGACTGCGGTAGGAAGTCTTATTGCCAAACACTGTGCTGAAGGGCTAAAAAAGTTGTCGCTGGAACTCGGTGGTAATTGCCCTTTCATTATATTTTCAGATGCAAACCAAGACCAGGCGCTGGCACAGCTGACGGCGCTTAAATGGCGAAACGCGGGTCAGACCTGCATCGCCGCGAACCGGATCTATGTTCAAGAGGAAATCTACGAAGATTTTCTCACCAAGTTGGTACACCATGCAAGAGCTATCAAACTTGGCCACGGTTCTCGGAAATCCGTCAATATGGGTCCCCTGACCACCATGCGAGGTGTGCAAAAGGCCCAACATCAAGTGGAAGATGCCGTTCAGCGAGGTGCTAAAGTAGTTCACGGTGGGAAGACTCCTGTGGCGAGCGACTCTGAATGTGGATATTTCTTCGAACCGACCATCATTCGCGACATGAATTCCTCGATGCTGATTACACATGAGGAAAGCTTTGCTCCAATTGCCGCCGTATACAAATTCAAAACCGAGGCGGAAGTGACCGAGCTCGCAAATGATACTGATATGGGTCTCGCAAGCTATGTATTTACCAAGGATATTGATCGTTGTTGGCGTATGTTGGAGAGCCTCGAGGCAGGTATGATCGGTCTTAATACCGGTAACTCCTCAGCTGCTGAGATTCCTTTCGGCGGGATGAAGCTGTCCGGCTACGGTAAAGAGTCTGGGAAGGATGTTGCTATTGCAGAATATCTTGTGTCGAAGTCCTGTGCTATCACGATCGAAGGGGAGCTCAAGTGAGTGGGGATTACAAAGATATGAAACTTTGTCACTCTTTCTTACTTAAATTTCATTGACAAATCTTTGGTCATTCAACGATTCAACCCTCCGCTTAATATAATTATAAGCCTCGGATTTGTTTCAGTATCAACAAGCCTCTGATTAATACATCGCAAGAGATGAGCATATACCCGCTGAGTTTGCGGTCTCAAGATAATGATTCCATGAATCCAAGCCAGCGGTTTGCCTAAGCAGATGGAGTGTCTGTTCCTTATTTTGTACGAAGATTACAAGAGCGGTCAGATTATATAAATTGAGTGTTCTCGGGGTCAAAGACATCGCTCCACTGTAAAGATGCATTGTGGTATGCTAATGATTTTCACTCTGTGTGTGTGCAGGTTTTCACGAACCTGAAATCTATAAAGGCCGCGGGTACGTATTCAACACATGACTTTCCTTGGTTCCAGTCCGGCTAAAGGAGTACTGTATGGAACTCAATTAGTGAATTATTACATTTTGTGCACGGCAGAATGGGGCACACGAATAAATGGGTCGAAATGGGTTTTGGGTTGGGTTGGGTTTTGGCGTAAACTAATATAGAAGCCATAGGATTACCGAAGACCTAAAATCTATTTCGCTAATAATAAGTTAATAGCTAGTTTTTAAAAGAGTGCACCTACTATATCACGTCAAATATATATTCTACCGACAAATATAACATATCCGAAGCGTAACCGCTGGACAGCCTCGAATCTTACTGCTAATCACCCAAATTAGTTCTTTTCAACACCTGACTGGCAGGATCCAGACAGGGATTTCACCACCTAGTACCGCTAAAGCCTTGAGTCCCGTCTTAAAGACTACAAAGAAGACCTTACTAGGTCGCAGTCTCTCATAAAGGCCAAGCAATTAGTGCAGACATTAGAGCTTGATATCTTGCTTACACTAGATACCGAGAGGACACAATCTAGTGAGCGTGATGAGCTTAGAGAGTATCTAAGAGGAGGTATGTATCTTTCACCTTATCCTCTCCGATTCATCTGAGCTTTTTCCAATACATCTAATAATAGGCACTGTCTCAATTAGCGCTCGGCAGTTATGGAGAGACCATCAACATGGATTCCCGGGCTTGCAAGTCTAGCACCGGACATTCTCTCTGTCTCTGCTACTGGCGCTAGTGTTGAGCGGTTATTTAACTTAGCACGCGATGTCTGCCACTACCGTAGAGGCTCGTTGAATGCTACAACCATCTAAGACCTAATGATGTTCATGTGCACTACTAGATTTGAAGTAGAGTAGGAGCAGCTTGCTTTCATCCGAGAACTGGCGACCGAGCAAGAGCTTGAATCAGCGGAAGAAGAAACGGATACCCGGCAATTGAGTGAGAATCTTGACCCAATCAGTGATAACGAAGAGGATGAGTCTCTTTTTGCTTCTGATAAGGCGTCTATTGAGATATGAAGCCAGACATCGCTTGGGAAGAGACGCAGGATAGATATAAATGAGGGATCTGGGCCTGAGGACCACCAGGTTGAGGCTAGTGGTGAGAATGAGGATATAGTCCCATTGCCTGGTGAAAGCAGTATGCAGCAGCGTGTTTCTGGCAGGGTTCGAGTCCCATCCATACGGCTCCAAGGATATATTAGTTAAAGGATAGTATACAAGTGTGTAGTAGATCATCCAAGAATCAATTCAAACCTAACCTACTTTTGTCTCTTCATAATCAATAGAACTCATTAATGTATTCATTTTGAGGGTAATCTAATTACCAAAAATCCTAAGAAATACAGGCAGAAATCGCATAGTTTATGCAGCTTACGGGGATTTCTATTTTGTTTCATTTTTGCGGAGCAACAGGCAGCCCGCCCATAGCCCGCCCATAGCCCGCCTACGGGCGGGCCGGGCTAGCCAATTTTGGGCAGCAGCCCGTGGGCCGTGTCGAGAACAAACTAACCCTAAGCACGTTACCGAGACTTCGTACTAATCAAGTCTACCCCGCATTTCTTGCCTCATAAAGAGGTATGAGAGCCTTAGCCAATATCCATACCCCGGCACTTTCCGGCAGTGCTGTAGCACGCCACATACAAGTCAAAATGCAAAGTCGTCTAGTCGGACGTCGCACACAATTCTCAAGCTGTGATGAATGTCGCCGGTCGCGAGTCAGATGTGAATCTACAGGTTGCAGCAATCCCGACGGAGAGCCGTCGAACTCTTGCGCCCGATGTCTGAAAAGGCACAAACAATGCACATTCAAGGTATTTTATTGCACAATTAGTAGCAGGAAACGTCAATAACTAACAGCCCGGCTCTTGCCTCGCGACAGTGGATGAACGATATCAGACGCCAGGGGCCGAAGAGTGACCTCAGGTTGGGAAGGAATATGGTTGGCCACCAATCAGTGGCTTTAACAGCGAGTAAGAGCACATCGCCGCAAGAGGTTGGCTGTCCGCACGGCCCAAGACCAGACGAAGCCGCGAAACGCATGCTTAACACTCCAAAGACCCCAGATCATGACCCTGCGGTTGTCCCCAACAGGGTCCTCTCGGCGCCCCTTAGAGACCGTACGCGATTGACGGCCCCGCCATTAGATGAACTGAGCCCATTCAACTACCATCTGCTCCAAGTTATCTATCGTACAGGCTTTGATACCATATTTAGCTCCAGGATGAGCAGATACGGCTGCCCATTTCTGTAAGTGCACCGCCATAACAGCACTTTTCCAGGCAGGAGTACTAACCTATAGTAGCTCTGAAAGCAGTGACGGGGAGGATTACACTAGCATTTCGGACGTTTGTAAGCGCTTAGATCTGTGGATGGCAGAGATGTCGCAGCAGGATCCAGCCCGGGCGTGGAATGGTTATTTTCAAGAACAAAGTGTAGAAGATACTCTAGAAGCCGAGTCTCTTCGAAGCACCATTGCCGCATTTTCGGCGAGATGGTTACCACTTGCGTCTCAAACTCCAGATGCAACGCTGCATTGCCAGAGCATTATACACGCCCTTTGGCGTCATGCGCGCCGAGATATGCTTCGGGTGATCAATCGCCCGTCTTACCAGTCAATGCTTGCACTCTTTTTGTTTGCCTTGACGCCAGTCCCAGGTGGAATTTCGGAGGAAGAAGAGGCTGATGGGATCTGTGGCCAGCTTTGTATTCATGCTGCCCTGCAGCATATACAGACTCTCCGGGCCTGGCAGCGGAGCCTGCAGTTCAATGGAACTAGAGTCTCAGAGCCCATAAAATCTATGGCAGTCCCGCCCATCCCGCAGACAGTCAGGGAGACAGACTTTATCACCGCTGAGAATATAGCATATTGGGCGGCACTGACCTTTGATACATCCGCCTCCCTCACCCTTAGCTGTCGCTCGCTACTTTCCTCCGGACTTTTCGGCTTTGAGGCGGAGCTACCATGGCGTCTAGCCCGTGCTGGAGCTACTATATTTCAAAGCAAGTTGGAGGATTGGCAGGAGCATGGCACCTACAACATAACAGACAAAGAAGCAAACCATATCATAGCAAGCGCGATGGGATGGAAGCTTCTGGTGTGGAAATTGACAGCGGTTTTTAAGGAAGCGTTACGGGATGGTCATGATGAATCTGAAATTCAAAGAGTGTTCTCCTTGGTCGTTGGGGCTATACGGCAGTTTAACGCTACCTACCGGCAGCCTTTGGAGGCATGCCAAAGCCGTATACTGTTTCTTGGACAGCACACCAAGTTACGCTGGTGTGAGTAGTTGCTCCCTAACCCGCTCGCATGTGCCTGTCTAACTGACTTCCCGATAGACTCACTGATGCTCCACTATCATCTCGGTATATTGTTGCTGGCCAACTTTATTGAGGCTACAGATCGTCTAGAATTGCTTACCGACATCGAAGAGGACAATGCGCAGGCAGAGGGTGTAATTGTGAACATGTTGACGTTTGGTCTTCACAACACGGTCACTTTGGATGTCAAGGTAGATTCCGGCTCTCTTGACGCTGTTCCGATTACTCAGATATCCATCACTGTTCCTCTAATCTCCATCGATCCCTATCCGCATCATATCCTCGCTGTCGTGCAGCTAGTTCAGAAGGCCGTCGACCGAGATCTGGCAAGCAGAAAGATCAGCCAAAGTGCTCACGACAGCCTACAAGCGATTCTGGAGAGGACGTTGGATCATCTTCCCCAGAGTTCAAAATCGGTGAAAAAAGTCAAAGACACCATCTTCTCCAAGGGGCTGCACTATGCAGGGGGGCAATTCCCGATGCCATTTTCCGTTTGACGTGTACCTTATGCAGAGCGGCTCTGTGCCTTGTAATAGATAATTTGGGTATATGAAGAAGCAGCCATGACATTTTATAACAGTATGCCCCAGCACTGGGTTGCTGAGAGATACTTATTCCAGTCTATTGTCCTCTCTGCGCAGACAGCGTATGGGTCAGTGCATTCATCCATCTCAGGGGCCGATTTTACGAATCGTGTTGACTCTGGGAATAATTGTATTGAATAGCGAGATATGATGTGGCTCTTTGTGGTATCCGTAGATAAAGTATAGTACCCCGACTTAAGCATATCATTGAGCGGTGGATGTTAAAGTATCCTCGGTCTCCGTGTTTCAATCCTTGTATAAGACACCAAGCGATACAATATCTACATTACATACTCAAAATGGCTACATGGCACGAAATCGCCACCCGGAAGCTGCCGCATACGCCATCAATTCAGAAGAAGCTATATGAGATCAGTACTGCTACAAGCAGTCTATATGAGAGCAATATGAGAAGCCACATGAGTTCAAAACAACATGGTATATCTCACCATGAGTCATAAACACACCTTCAAGCGTGTCCTATCGACTGGCCGAGCCAATATCAACATGCAAGACATGCACTACCAAACTCTAGTCTTCCATGCGATACATTCTCAAGAAGACGGAGTTGTGGAGATTCTAAGACGATCACTACTTAAGTGAATATTTTCGCCTGTCTCTGTAGCGCCAGGAATGTCTCTTTGTCATGGCCCGGGATGACCTGGCCCTTTGTAATTCGCTCCAGATGCTTGAGTCGTTGCGTACTCCTGAACCAGGCTGGATGATCTCGAGCGAGCCATCCTTGTGGGATGCCGTCTCGCCACTGCCACACGTCAGCCTGATATTGAAGGAGGGTCGATATTGGCAGACAAATAAAGTTTACTTACGTTTTCAATGACATGACAGTGGTCACTGATAAAAAAGAAAGTTCCTGTCTCAGGCATGTTGATTTGCATTCCGATAAGGCCATCTGTATGCCCGGGTAAATGGTGAAGAGTGATGCCCTGACAGAAGTCGAAGGTCTGGTCGTCGAAAGTTTTCCAGTTCCTACGTCGGTTAGATACTATTCTCTTTCTAAGTACCCCGCAAAAAAGGATAGAGGGTCACGTACAACGACAGATCAAGATAATGCGGCAGGTAAACACCCGCATCAGCCCCTGTAGCCACAGACCAAAATGCTCCGCGGAGTTCCCTGTCATGGACCCATATCTCGACATTTTTCGTACCTGCAAACTCATCTAGACCTCCCGCGTGATCCAAGTGGAGATGTCCAATTATGATCTTCTTAATATCCTCAATGTTATTCCCAGTGGCTTCCACAGCGGCACGAAGCTCGTGCTGAGGCTCATACTGGACTCGAGCAAAGATATCAGAGACAGCAGGACCCCAAACTTCTGGATAGTCCTTCCCACATCCTGTCTCCCAGAGTATTAGACCCTCGTGCGGATGCTCGACGAGGATACAGTACATAGGCATTTGTCGACGTTTGTTGACGAACGTTTCACCTTCGTTGCTCTTCAGGCTGGTGTTGCCACCTCGGACGACAAAGCCTTCGTCACACTCAAGCCAGCCGACCTCCAAGACGTGAAACTTGGTGCCTTGGGGGCAGACGTTGGATATAGAGTTGGGGACGGCGCCTTGCTGGAGTTGATTTTGGATAGCCGACATGTTGTACGAGAAATAATGGTGGATACTGCCGTAGGTTGGCTGTAAAGAGGATGTCACCTTAGTCTGTAAGAAGTTGTCCAGGATTAATAAGGATAAGTTGTAAAACAGCAAGAGTGAAGGACATTTGTATGGATCCAGTCGGGTATAGATGTTGGGATGGCTTAATTACCTGGTAAGGCCCCCGCAACAGAAAAACACACAATAATTGGAGTTGGGGTCAATGTTGGAGATGTTAATGGTTGTCAAACCGAGACCCGCATTGAGGATACATCGTGCTGCGAAAGACCTCTGATAAAGTTTTTCTACAAGACGAAGTGGTAATGACTTTGTGAAGTTCCTTGCCATTGAATATAATCCTTGGACCACAACTCGTCCATTGTAGCGGTCAAGCTTCTGAGGTATATTTGTCTCAACGCTCTCCAGATCCTCTCTTCCCGTTTCGTCAAACTCTCCCGATTAGAGCTTATTGTCTCCCTTGATTGTTGGCAACTCTTCGGTATTTTGCTCTGCCTCTGCTGCTGTCACATTAGCGGTAGATGTTGACTGAGCAAGCTGGGACAGTATGGACTAGTAATCCAATTGGGCGAATAAGATCGAGGGTTAGGTCAAGCGGAATCAATCTTGGATGAAAAGGTGGATTGATTGAAGAGAAAGAACGAATATCATAGGGCAGGCTGAAATACCCCATAGATGGCTAAGATACATATTTGGAACACAGTACTTCCGCCCACTGGCAAAAAGATAAGTGGGCCAGGTACCGTGTTACGAATACTAATGAACGCTGACTGTACATGGTGTTACGACACCGTAATGCCAAGGAAGCCAAATTACTACACAAAACACAAACAAAAGTGGGTCGGTCAGTATAAACCCTGTCTGAGTGGTAAGTTACCCCTCCATGTCTCGACATAGTCGCTTCCGAGTTTTGTCGCTTCCGATATTTTATTCTGTTGCACATCGGATCCGACGACAGCCATGAAATACAGGCTCTCGAGTCTTCTTCCATACTCGGCGACACTACCGCACAGTATCACTAGGGGAATTTTGTTCAACTAACATCCTCCCAGTCTCACAGCGGCTGCATTTTAATTTGGTGTATTATTGGTTGTTTCTCAAACAGATCCCAGTTGCTGGTAAATCCGCAAGAAGTCTAGAATACGGCTGTTTGTAAAGAGCAATATACTAAACAAAGGTCCGTTAACTAGGCAAGGGGAAGCAGATGTGATTGGAGGGGGAACAATTTAATCAGATTCCGAACAAAAACTGATTCTTGGGCATTGTAATGCCCAACTCCATAAGGCTATTTAACATAACCGAAACACAATAGAGTCAAGAGGCTTTGCCATTGCATCGCCCGGCTACTAGGCCTTCTCGTAAACACGAACCGCTCGCTGGACACATGCTCCTCGTGTGATACGAGCTGAATGTATGCTTATAAGAAATCAAGATGTACCAAGAAATATGAGCCGTAAGGATTGAAGCCGATTGACTCTTCTTGTTAGCTCGGGTATGAAAGGAAGAAGGCCAACCAAAGTAGTAGCATTTGACGAAACAACTAAGCATGGGGAAGGAAATAGGAAAAGAGAGCAAGAGAGCGAGAGAGGACCTAAATACATGAGAGATGCCTGCGGCAGCAGGCATCAAAGATACCGCATGTGAATAGTCACAGTTCTGAGGATGAGGTAGGTGGAAAAATAATTGTAGGGACTGGATTTGAGGCTGACGTTTATATACAGTGTTTCCCAGCAGTATCTCCGAGTTGCTCTCGAGCGGCAACGGGATGCCACAAGCATGGATCCCCAGAAATTATAAGGGCTGATCTCTGTCAATTAGAAGTCGATGGCGTTGCGTATATGAGTTGGAGAAGGGCCAAGCGTGGCTATTTCAATTGAGTTAGTCTGGCGGTTGCTGGAGAGTGTGATCTCCCGGGGCCGAAGATGGCTGTCGGGAATGCCTTCCCACGGCTGGTGCTGGACGCGTAGTCGGACTACTGATGTTTCGCCTTCCTTTTATTTTGCTGTGCTTTTCTGAATTTCTTATCGTGTCGCGCGCGTTTTCCATGTCTTCCTCCGAGACCCATTGGTTGTACTCGGATGGCCAGCCCTTCCCGTTCAGCAAGAAGTAATTTGGTCCTCGAACGAATTTTTCATCTTTGACCTCCCCCACTTCCCACACATCTTCGTCTCCTAGGTCGGTCATTGGGATCGATCCGGCTCCGTCTTGATCCCCCTCAGGTGTCCAGCCCTCTAGAAGAGAACCATGAAAGACATTACGGATTCGGGAATATTGTTTTAAAGGGCAAGGCGATATGCTTGCTGGCCAGCGAGGCACATATAACAAGGAGATAGTTTGCGAGACGACATCTTCACTCGGAGATTTCTTGTAGATAACAGAACAAGGCTTCCTGTCTTGAATTATTTTGGCCCGTATTTCTGTTGAAGTACCCAGCCTGACAGTGGACGGCTTCTTTCCTTTTCCAGCCTTTCTTCTAGAAGGCGTAACTTGTTGATGCGGGCATGTAACCGCTGGGACCCCTTTGAAGGGGATTCGTAACGAGGTAAGACACCGTTGTTTTGAATGCAGTAAAGAGGACATGAGCCTCCACAACAACAGAGTGCTTGAGAGAATCAAACGGCGCCCATCCTGCCCAGTTTCCATCCTGTGGAGCTGCACCCCGAAGAGTTTGGACCCAGCTCACAATTACCGAGAAATCCAGCAAATCTCCTAGCATCATCCCTAGTATCACTTAGGGTATCTATGTCAAATAAGCATCAGGTTCTTATTATTTTCTTGTAGGACGCTCACTGGAACAAAATTCATCTTTCTCGCAACCGCACAAGAATGACACGTCATAGTGTCAGGGTTCAAGGGTCATTGAAATTTTCCGGCGTCCCGTATCCATCTCCATCTTCATTTCCATTCCCATCTTCATCGCCATCTCCGCTGACATTGTCTCCGGCAACTCCGTGGGTAAAGACCAATTGAGCCTGATGTTCTTAATAAGTTTTCGTTGGCCACGACAATCAGGAAGAATCAGCTCGGTGTCACTGGCCCTGACCCTCGTGTTCGAAACCTTGATGCACGGGATAGACGATTGAAAAACGGAGTCCGATGTGTCTAAGGAAAGAAATTGCATGCCCAGGGCGTGGAGCCAGTTCACCAGGAGAAGGAGGTGCTCGAGACATTTTGAAAGACTCCAGAGAATTTAAGAACGTTTTGAAATTCTGGATTGAATTCTACTACCGACACACTGGTTCATCATTCTCTTATATGTCTCTTCCAGAAGACAATCTATTTCGGCGATTTTGATACTATTTCGAGATTCCTTTGATGTCTTGTGGATATTTTCCTTTTATGTTGGTATTTCATTCTCACATAAGTTTCGTCTATTTTCATTTGCCATTTTACTCTGCCATGACCTTGTAAAGCCCCTCCTTTTCGCTTTCATGGCGTTTCCTTCTTTTGTTATGAACTTATGATATTTCACGCCATGTAGCTGGGACACCCCCATTGAAAGGGGGAGGTCAAATGTGAAGGAAAAGAGATAGAGGACTGTGTTCTCTACAGCGGGGCTGTCTATTATTTAGACCCTGCCAAACTCTGTCAAACCCCAGCTTCTCGGCATCGACCCTACGCTGCACTCAAGTGACAGCCTAACTTGGGTAGTAAGAGATAGCCCCTCATCCTGAGGAGAATCCAAGAGCTTTGTTTGGTCTATATCACACATCACTGAGTCCATGTCTATCACGTTGTGGACTCGTGGAACCTTAGGATCTGCGTTTGGCTTTGTCTTCCACGTCATCATTCTCAGTATTGATGTGGGAGGGTGAAGATCCGTCGGACGGATAGGCAACAAGGGTTAGGCGAGATTAAGCGGAACCAAATCGAGATGATTGAGTTGATTGAATAAAGAAAGAACGGATATCACGGGGCAGGTTGAAATACCTTGTGATAAATTCCAAGACGGGGAAAGGAGAGGCATTGCTATCCTTATCAAGCACCTCAACTAGTACATCCTTTAACGAATATTGAAGAAGCCGTCATTTGCTGACAGTATCCACCTAGGGCATTACTCAGGCCGTCTTATGATTCCATGGTTTCAAATGTGGGGTCGAAGAGCAGACCGGAAAATGCTGTGCTTTGACAGCATGAAAATCAAAGTGTATATCGAAAACCAGGTAATCCTTCGATGATCTTGTCCCCGCGGTCAGCCTTCCGATTGCTAATCCAAAGGTGAATTGTCATCAACGCCACAACGGCGAGAAGGAGGAATTGGCACCTAGCCGTGAATCGCTATTAGACATGCCACAATTGCACCAATATGCAGAATATGATGTAGGTGATGGAACTCACGCAATCGTCGCCCAGATACCCGGTATATAGTTCGGAGCATCTTGTGAACGAAACACCAAGCTCCCTGTAATACCCCCGATACCTCCAAAGCTGACGAGGGTTGCGCTGGCAAAAGCTCTTGTCCATTGTCCCCGGATATTGTTAGCCTGGTAAGCCATCGAGGCGGGAATCCCAGCATTTGCTCCGGCAGTGGCGAGGAAGATTCCGAATACCGGACTCCCGAGCTGGTGGCAAAGCCCATAAGAGACAAGCCCACCAACGTGATAATGCAGTTCAGGACAAGAATAGGAGCTCGAACGCGATACTTATCCCCAGCCCATGACGTTATTACCATTAGCATACCTGCAAAAGCATAAGGGGGTGCATTCAAGCATTGAGATGCAGCAAGGCTGAAGTGCATGTTCTCATTGAGAATGATGGGGAGAAAGTATGCAATGGCGTAGGCAACCGTTGTTAGACAACTGCAGGTAGACACTATTAGCACAGCTACGAGCCAAGAGATCAGAACAGTCAAGCCGCTGGATAACACACAAGAAAATTAAAGCAAAGCCCCATATCTTTAGATCTAGAGCGGGGCGCAGAAACTTGTCGAGGCTGAACGGTTCTGGACTTGCGTCGCCGCGGTCTCTGTCAAGGCGCCTTAAAATGAATGCGCATTCCCTTTCGTTGAGGAATCCCCACGCTTTATGTGCTTTGTCAGGGAAGTCGACGACAAAGATCCAGCACAGGAGGCCAACGGTGAATGATAACTAATAAGTCACCCAATATGTTAAGTAAGTGTCAGCCAGCTTCGTAGGTTGAACTACTCACAACTCCCTGCATAATAAAGATCCATCTCCAGCCTGCATGACCATGGAGGCCGTGCATCCGACTAAAGCCATAAGCTAAAATTCCTGACATTGCTGATGCAACACATCCAATCAAGTAAAACCAAGAATATCGTTTTTGAATTTCATCTGCAAAGATTAGTAGGAGCCATTCGGTGGAATACTGGGTGCAACTGACAACGGGAGTACCATGTAGACAGAAGATAGACAGCACCGGGGAAGAATCCCGCTTCGAGAACACCTAGAACTGCACGCAACCCCGCCAATACCTGCCAGTTATGGGAATATGCAAAACCCTAGGGAATAATATTTCAGTAACGAGCCATTATTCGCAATACTCAGGGTACCAGTCTACGTACAATCAAACAGGCGCCCCAAGTCAGGACAATGCTAGTTATAAAAATTCGGGGGCCGATCTTTCGGATAATAGCAGTTGAAAGAGGTTGACACACGACGTACGTGACAAAGAAGACGAGGATCACGATGGACTATGCGGCGTGTTAGATAAAATAATTATAGAGGATGTAGCGAACGGGCGTACATATCGAAATCCCACATCCAGCGACAGGTCTTTGGTCATGCTTGGACTCCGTTAAATCATCAGTCTATTGAGCTCGGTGAATGATGCCTCACCCAGCGACTGCTGCCATGGACACGTTGGTTCTGTCCATCAAACTGATGCAGTACGCAAGACCACAGATAAGAACCAGCCGCCGATCAATGCGATGGATAATCTTCCGCTGTTGCGCATAGGAATACTCCTCGTCGAGGTCAATGTTGGCGATGCTTTCACGGAAAACCACATTTTCGACGAAGGTTGTCGAAGTTTTCTCGGTATCATCCATTTTCATCGACGTGAGCGGAATGTTCGGTCCCAACGTATTATGATGCAGGATATAGCTCGTGCTTCGGTAGAAGAATAGTGGCCATTTATATCTCCAGTGCTGCATGCAAAAAAGGAAAAACTCAAAGCATTACCTCTCGAATGGGGTAGAACTTAAATGGTGCATACCGATGATGTGGAAGCCCTCGGCACTAGCGGCCTGTCATTACCAACTAGAGTACCTGCCCTATCACATAGCTTAACGGGGTCCTCGCTTCCACAGCCGGAAATGTGCAGTGCCCAGTTCCTTCTCCAGATATCCAGTTTCCCTCCCCCATTCTCACCTCGAATAGAGTTTTATCTTCCTTGGCCCTATCAACTTCTCATACTTCCAAGTTCCTCGGTCCCTGTTGCCGTCGTAGTACAATTATCTTTTAATCTACGTGATTTCCGAACGCCCATTGCGACTCTGCGTCGGATCCGATGGCAGTCACAAACCACGGCGTGTGAGTCGTCTTCCGGGCGTGTTGCCTTTCTAGAAGATGTAGATTAGGGAAAGTGTCGGATTGGCTGATCCACTATGAACGGAACCGACTCGGAAGACGTGCAACCTACAAGGCGGATACCGTCAGTGCTCATTTCGGCTCCGGCCAGTCATCCCCTTAAAAGGAAATTTCACTTTCAAGACTTAGCACAATAGCTGTTCAGAAAGGGAGTTGGAGAGAGCCAAGAAAAGTTACCGTTGCTACATGTCATCTTGGTTTGATACTTGGGAAGCGCGAGTGGCTTGAGGCCGTCTGTGCTGAAGGCTAGGCGAATGAAGAACACTTCATGCTCCTAAACAAGCCCATTGAATTGAGGCTTTCCTGTGCTAGTCCTGTCGATCTCTGATGACGCGAAACCTTCTTTTTTCAACATTATAACAGTTGATCGACAAGATTGAGCGGGGCCTGCGGTACCTGTTGGCGGCCTTGATTTTTCCTTGTTCCAGGTGCTTGCCGCAATTTGACAGGGACCTATTCATGCTCGCATGACACATACTTCATAATTAGACCTCTTCGCAGTACGCTTTCGTCAGCCATGCCTCTAAGCACCGGGTCCGGGTGGTTACGTAGGATTAATGAAGGCAGGAAGTTGCGAACCTTAGATACAGCTGAAAATTTCGCTTCAACGCGATAGCTAGACTATTTTTACAGTGATACTTACCGCTCGGTCACAAAATTTTGACTCATATGGTCAGGGTACCGACTAGTATCCAAGCACCAAAGGATGAAGGTCTGGATGTAACATGCCCATGCCCGTATGTGGTCACGTCACCATGGTTTCCGCCCCATTCGGCAGTACGTTATTTTCCTTCCTCATGATCAATTGTTTCGTTGAAATGCTACTACATTGGTTGATGTCTGACTCTTCCTCTGGCCCTCCCACTAATTCATGCTACGAGCGTTGACAGCAGACCGCGGGAGTCATTATTTTCGGCTCTTAATGCATTCAGGTTGCCTATCTGGTTAGTACAGTTTTGGCTTTAAGTCTTCAATGGGGCATTTCACAACTTTGCTCGTGCAAGAGCATCGGTACCGGTTTCGTTCGCAAGATGGATGGGTGACAGGAACGAAACTGTCCAAGTAATTGATATCAGTGTCCTTAATTTTGATAGGCTCGTATGTGTGACAAAAGGCTTCCTAAGACAGTCGGCGCCCCAACCAGCAATATCTAAATTTGGAAGGACTCAGTGGGCATTTCCCCTCACACTACGCTACCGAAATAATACTGTCGGATTGGAGTCTCAAGAGTTTCGCAGCGGCAGCCAGGTGTAGGAAGCTCTTAGAGGAAGACATCAGATATGACTAACCTTTGGTAAAGCCAGAGCGACACAATGTATTAGTTGCATAAGGGATCTGACGATGACATCAAGTTGTTGGCATTGCTGTTAACTAAAGCAGATTCTGTGCGAACTGCAGCGATCCCACCTTCATGGCGAAGTCTATTATCTGCTATACACAGACACTTTGTTTCAGAAGTATATTTAGCTTATCGGATCCGATGTCGCTTGACATAGCTTCCGGCTTACGCAACTACCCGGTTCCTGGTGATCAATTCTTGGCTTCCCCAGAAAACGGGGAAATTGTGCGCGGTATCTATTCTTACATCGGGGAAGTCTGGAGATGTCAAAGGGAGAAAATATACTCTTCTCCACTCTGAAGTCTTTGCTCCCTAGCGAAGTGAAATCACCCTGGGAGCCGTCTTCTGGATCACTGGGTATATCTAGCCCCCTCCCCCGGGGCTCCTTCATTTTCTTTTCTCCTCACAACATCACTGCACCTTTTCGGCTTTCTTATATGCATTGTGCTCATTCCATCCCATCTTGTTGCTAGGTCTTCTTGCTTTGAAAATCTTCATGCCTGATATCATTTATTACCTGGCTATTGCCAGCCTCGCAACCGCTACGTCGGCTGCTTCGCTCGGAGCGTACAATGTTGACCCGAGTTCCGTGTCAGTCTCCGGATTCTCAAGTGGTGGCTTTATGGCGGCACAGCTTGGTGTTGCCTATTCCAGCACTTTTCAGGCCGGATTTGGCGTTCTCGGTGGTGGTCCGTATGACTGTGCGCGTAACCAATATGTAAGCCAAGTTTTGCTTCTCGATAGCCACTCATTCCAGTTTACCTGTACTAGATGATGCTAACAATAGTACTGATTTAGTACACCAATTGCATGTACAACCTGAATCCCTCCATCACCATACCCACTGCCAACATTAAATCCTGGAGTGGTCGCCAAATTGACTCTATCGACAACTTGAAGTCTCGTAAAATCTATATGCAAACTGGCTCAGCCGATACTACAGTTGGCCCCAATGTGATGGCCCAGCTGAGGTCACAGCTATCAAATTTCGGTACCTCGTCTTACATGACGTATATCACCACCTCAGGTGCTGCGCACACCTTCCCAACTGATTTTGACGCATCGGGTGATAATGCATGCAAGTCTTCTTCATCCCCTTATGTCAGCAATTGCGGCTATGACGGGGCTGGTGCGGTACTGAAGTGGATGTATGGCGCCTTGGACGCTCGTGATATTGGTACATTGACGGGAGAGGTTATCTCATTCAGCCAAACTGCCTCATATGGTGCAAATGGCATGGCTAGCACAGGCTATATGTACGTTCCTGCAGCCTGCAAGGATGGTTCGACTATTTGCAAACTACATGTGGCGCTTCATGGCTGCCTCCAGAGCTATGGTCAGATTGGTTCCAAGTTTATCAATAACACAGGGTATAACAAGTGGGCAGGTAGGGAATACCTCCACAAAGACGTTCATATGTTTCGCCGCTAACAAATTGTCTTATCTTACAGATACAAATAACATTATTATTCTCTACCCTCAAGCGACTACTGACAGCTCTCTCCGAACAATCTGGAACGGTGTTCCACTTTCCAATTCTAACGCATGCTGGGATTGGCTTGGTTGGTACGGTACTAATGCTGATCAGAAGGGAGGTAAGTTGGTTGCATGTCTCCACTCACAGCATATCGATAATTGATGTTTACATAACCAAACCTTTCCTTTTAGGAGCCCAGATGACTGCAATTGTGAACCAAGTCAGCCAGATCATCAGTGGCTACTCAAGCTCCAACAAAACCCCCGCCACCGCCCCAGCTACCTAAACAAGCACCTGCACTTAAGTCTTGTCCGGTGTGTTGTTGGTTTTAGGATGATGAAGTTTCCTAAAGCTTTCGTGAGATATCCCCACTTGCACATGGTGCCAAAGCTCTTAATAACACTGATCTTAGCAGTACTGGCGAATTATCACATCAGCCAAAGCGTTGATACAACGGGTATGACGGGCAAGGCTGCTAGAGCAGAACAGGATGATTAATGCGACGCTTGGAAACAGTGTGTAGATAGAGTGGTTAGTTTTCAGCGATCTGATTGGCAGAGACGTATGAAGGCAGGCACCTCAACTCCAGCACTTCTCCCTTCTCTCATGTTTTCAGTCTCAGTATTGGCTGCGGAATGCACTCTTTTCTCGAAGACTAGTCCCTTGTCACAGTTAAGTTAACGGGCATGAAGCTTTTAAGGAACAGAACTTACCGCGTAAATAGTTTTAACTATCGCCTGCTACCTGAGTCATCAGAGCTAGTCCGCCATTCAAGATATTCAATCCGATGTTCCGTCTAGTATTTTGTAATGAAATCTACCTGCTGTCGAGACATAGAGAGGTAACTTACCTCCTAGACAGGGGTTATACT